GGAAGAATTTAAAAATTTTCCCGATTTTCGCACTTTTAATCCTCAATAACTTACTGATTTACAACACATTGTAGACCTTTGAGACATATTGTATCTGAGATTGTAAAGAATAGATCGCTAGCTCAATTTTGGTTGAAAATGACACTGCAAAATATACAGAGTGGGTATGGGTATACAGGTTACATTTCATACTTTTCAATAGATTGATTTTTTCCAGGAAAATGTCCAAAAACAAGCAGAAATGGCAATGTGTTAAACATGCAACCAGGGAAACAACGACTGAGCTGTACAAGTCATTTGAAAAAACATTTGGAAAGTGATGAGGACCAATGAGAGCTCATGCTTTCAAGGAAAAATGAACACTTAGCATAAACAATATCTGTTCCGAGAAGCAAGCCAGTTTGAATTAAATTTTTACCTCTATGACAAGTAACGGGACAGTACTTTTAAGATTGCATAGATATAATGGCTTCATATCTGAAACATGCAATTTTTCTAGATTTATTCCCAACTTAAAATGGTCATTATTGCTTTTTGAAAATCAATACCATGTTAACTAATAGAGCATTTGTTCAAGCTCAAATTAGAATATTTATTCATTCCCGTTCAGAAAAATAACAATATAACCCCTAAACAGTTAGGCTATAGATAATTACATTCATAGTAAAGGGGGTGAATAGATCTGCCGAGATCTGGGCACAATCTCGGAAATGAAATATCGAAATATCATCAAAGTTAATCCCATACTTAGTAGTGTTATAGGTAAATAACATGCGGGAATATAATTGATATCTGAGTTGAGCGGGAGATATACAAGGGTTATGTACTGGGAGGTTTTGGATACAGGTTTTATCCCAAGGGAAATATGTGTATATCCCGACGGACCGCAGGGACCAAGGGATATACACATATTTTCCGAGGGATAAACCCTGTATCCAAAACCGACCGTACATAACAGATGTATTTCATACCTACTGATGTTCTTGGTACGTCATATACCTTATAAAGTTCCAAAATTCAAAAATATACTTAAGATACACATTTTCTTGGTGTTTTAAAGTGGTTTTTAAGTTTCTGAGATTATCAAACTCATAAATGTGAAAATCTTTTTTTTTAAAATGTGAAAAAAAATTTGGGGAAAAATGGGAAATTTCAATGCATATTTAATTCTCATAATCTACTAAGTATAGGATAAATCAGTTATTAAATGCTCGATTTTTGATACAGTGTATATCCCTCAGTAAATACAATATAGTCACGATTTATTAGTTAAAATATGCCTAATTCAATTTTAAGACAAGCCAGAATGGCAAATCTCCCCTGCCCCTTAACCGTTTAGGGGTTAATAAAATACTCAATAAAACTTATTAACGATAGGATAGATTTTTGATAGATGACATACGAGACTGTAATTATATTTAAGTTCAATTCTGTGTGTCAATATTCTCTATTTGGATGCTCAAAAAAGTTCTTGTGTATTAACTCATTAATTATTGGAAAAACAATATACATTTGTTAATAAGTCAAAGCATAAGTTAGTTGTGTTTTACCTTCACATGTGAAAATGTTAGGCTTAGTGTGTTATATATAATTTTACTGAACATCGGTGTCTACATCTTCCTGTACAGGAACTTTAAATTATGTTCATGTAATGATTCATTTAACTGGACGTTAGTCATTACTATCACTATATCTTGTTGATGGCATAATTAAGGTTACTAGAACATTCCTTGCATGTGTTGTCCTAACTTGATGTAACCAGAAGTTATGAATTTGCCATGTATGTGACAAGCACGTTACAGTCTCTTTATTTTGGCAAAGTCGTTGTTAAGGTTGGTACTACATTCCTGGCTCGTGATATCTAAGTCGAACGTAACTTGTATACTCATTTATGCGTGTCCACACTTTCCTTTGCCTACAACGTTCTATAGTTAATGTTACCAGAACTTCAACTTGGCCACGTATATGTGACGTTGCATTAGCACGTTACAGTCTGTTATTTTATTTTTGCAGTCATTGTAAGGTTGCTACTACATTCCTAGCACATTATATTTAAGTAAAATGTAACGTTGTATAAACATCTGTGCGAGTCCAGACCTTCCTGTGCCTACATCGGTCCAAGACAAACGTTACCAGAACTTTAAACTGGCCAGGTATATGTTACGTTGCATAAGCACATTACAGTTTCACTATTTTTGCGAAGTCATTGTTAAGGTTGGTTCTACATTCCTGGCACGTAATATTTAAGTCAAATGTAACGTTCTTTAAACATCTGTGCGAGTCCACACCTTCCTGTACCTACAACGTTCCATTATTAACGTACCAGAACTTAAAACTGGCCACGTATATGTGACGTTGCACATTACAGTCTCGTTATTTTTGCGAAGTTATCGTTTAGGTTGGTTCTACGTTCCTGGCACGTGATATTTAAGTCAAATGTAACGTTCTTTGAACATCTGTGCGAGTCCACAACTTCCTGTACCTACAACGTTCCATAATTAACGTATCAGAAATTTAGATTGGCCACGTATTTATGACGTAATGTAAGTACGTTACATTTTCGTTATTTTGGCGAAGTCATCGTCTAGGTTGGTTCCACGTTCCTGGCACGTGATATTTAAGTCAAATGTAACGTTCTTTAAACATCTGTGCGAGTCCACACCTTCCTGTACCTACAACGTTCCATATCAACGTTACCAGAAATTTAGATTGGCCACGTATATATGACGTAATGTAAGTACGTTACAGTTTCGTTATTTTGGCAACGTTATTGTTAAGGTCGCTACTACATTCCTGACACGTGATATGTAAGTCAAATGTAACGTTCTTTAAACATCTGTGCGAGTCCACACCTTCCTGTACCTACAACGTTCCATATCAACGTTACCAGAAATTTAGATTGGCCACGTATTTATGACGTAATGTAAGTACGTTACATTTTCGTTATTTTGGTGACGTAATTGTTAAGGTCGCTACTACGTTCCTGACACGTGATATTTAAGTCAAATGTAACGTTCTTTAAACATCTATGCGAGTCCACACCTTCCTGTACCTACAACGTTCCATATCAACGTTACCAGAAATTTAGATTGGCCACGTATATATGACGTAATGTAAGTACGTTACAGTTTCGTTATTTTGGCAACGTTATTGTTAAGGTCGCTACTACGTTCCTGACACGTGATATGTAAGTCAAATGTAACGTTCTTTAAACATCTGTGCGAGTCCACACCTTCCTGTACCTACAACGTTCCATATCAACGTTACCAGAAATTTAGATTGGCCACGTATTTATGACGTAATGTAAGTACGTTACATTTTCGTTATTTAGGTGACGTAATTGTTAAGGTCGCTACTACGTTCCTGACACGTGATATTTAAGTCAAATGTAACGTTCTTTAAACATCTATGCGAGTCCACACCTTCCTGTACCTACAACGTTCCATATCAATGTTACCAGAAATTTAGATTGGCCACGTATTTATGACGTAATGTAAGTACGTTACATTTTCGTTATTTTGGTGACGTAATTGTTAAGGTCGCTACTACGTTCCTGACACGTGATATTTAAGTCAAATGTAACGTTCTTTAAACATCTATGCGAGTCCACACCTTCCTGTACCTACAACGTTCCATATCAACGTTACCAGAAATTTAGATTGGCCACGTATATATGACGTAATGTAAGTACGTTACAGTTTCGTTATTTTGGCAACGTTATTGGTAAGGTCGCTACTACGTTCCTGACACGTGATATGTAAGTCAAATGTAACGTTCTTTAAACATCTGTGCGAGTCCACACCGTCCTGTACCTACAACGTTCCATATCAACGTTACCAGAAATTTAGATTGGCCACGTATTTATGACGTAATGTAAGTACGTTACATTTTCGTTATTTTGGTGACGTAATTGTTAAGGTCGCTACTACGTTCCTGACACGTGATATTTAAGTCAAATGTAACGTTCTTTAAACATCTATGCGAGTCCACACCTTCCTGTACCTACAACGTTCCATATCAACGTTACCAGAAATTTAGATTGGCCACGTATATATGACGTAATGTAAGTACGTTACAGTTTCGTTATTTTGGCAACGTTATTGTTAAGGTCGCTACTACGTTCCTGACACGTGATATGTAAGTCAAATGTAACGTTCTTTAAACATCTGTGCGAGTCCACACCTTCCTGTACCTACAACGTTCCATATCAACGTTACCAGAAATTTAGATTGGCCACGTATTTATGACGTAATGTAAGTACGTTACATTTTCGTTATTTTGGCGACGTAATTGTTAAGGTCGCTACTACGTTCCTGACACGTGATATTTAAGTCAAATGTAACGTTCTTTAAACATCTATGCGAGTCCACACCTTCCTGTACCTACAACGTTCCATATCAACGTTACCAGAAATTTAGATTGGCCACGTATATATGACGTAATGTAAGTACGTTACAGTTTCGTTATTTTGGCGACGTAATTGTTAAGGTCGCTACTACGTTCCTGACACGTGATATTTAAGTCAAATGTAACGTTCTTTAAACATCTGTGCGAGTCCACACCTTCCTGTACCTACAACGTTCCATATTTAACGTTGCTACAACTTGAGACATATATTCTGACGACGTTATCACAACGTAAAATTGTTAGCTGGGAACCCCTTTTAGAAAAAGTGGAAAACAATATTTCCCATGTCATTTTCCCATAGGGAAAACTCATGCGATCCGTTGCAACATTTTGATGCAACAAAAATTGAAAAAGCAGGGGTGGAAGGGGTTGAAATCAGAACGACATTTCAGGAAAAAAAACGTGGGTGGGTTGTTTGCATCTTCCCTATATCAAAGTCGAATTTATTTAATCACCTCTATGAGTGCTTTTTCTGGAGGTAATGCATTGACCTAAATATGCAGCTGTTTAAATCCTCAGGAAATAGCCAAAATCCTACATATTACTGTCTAAAATTTGTTAATATACTTTCCCCCCTCCTTTGAAGTAATTACATTGTATATCGAGCCGAGTGGAACAAAACTCTTGGATATTCAGTACACTAAAATAACAGCTGAGTTCCTTCTGGTCATCATGACTATCTGCCGCCATATTAATTGTAGATTTGAAGACTCCTTCTGCTGTCTCGTCTTCTGTTACATGCTGTTGGATTCTACTTAATGACCATGTAATAGCCGGTTTCTGGGAATCATTTTTGTTTCCAGCATATTTGACAGACCATGTGAATGTGATGATATCGTTTTCCCTAAATGTTGATATTCCTAGCATAGGACACTTTTCCGGCTCTGAAGACACATTTAGGAGTTCTTTGATTTCATTCAAACATGCATGGTTTATTCAAGGTTATGAAATAAATTATTGCATACACTAGCGTTCATATGTTCAAATGGAACTTCTTATTTAATAGCGTGTACGTTTGGATCTTCGTGTTGTCCCTCTATAACATACCATTTAGATATCAAAAATGATAGGTCGATTAATAAGTTCTAAGAAAATCACTTTTGTGCCCATATAAAATTTAAACCACTTTAAACCCGATGTTATCACAGTGTGAAACTTGTTTTTTATCTCAAAAAGTGGTTTTGAAGTACTTTTTCCGAAAGTCGTGAATTTATTTAAAACTAAGTTTTAGAGGTCACACGTATCTTTCAATAAGCGGATATTAATACCAATGCATTGCATTCATCCTCAGAAGTTTTTTGCCTAAAAAATAAGAAAATTGGTTCATAAATAAGCGAGAAATGAACTCATCAATGCAGGAAAATGGTTCAGAGAAAATGCATTTCAAAATATTAGTTCTCATAGAAACCAATAGTACAATAATATCTAACATTAAGATAAGGCTCATTTTTACTTTATTTCAAACTATAGTTTCACGCTAGAGTTGAGTCTTTTTGTAATTCCATGTCCATTTCCACGAGGAATGGGAGATATAAGAGAGGTTTCGCAAAGCGTTTTTTTAGCTCAACGGATCCGTACTTACCAGATGTATGCATAGTCAGTTCAATTTATACGTGAAGCGATACGGAAAACACGAAAAATGAGGCTTTTCTACGTTGGTCATTTACGTATCCCATTTTATCCTTCGATTGTATTGTTTTTTGTTCTAAATGCTATATGAACAAGGGTCTTCGGACTCTTAGACTTAGTTTGAGTATAGCAGTTTGGCCCTGACCTTGACAATGAATGTGATATTGGGTCTAAAGTTGGCGTCCCGTATCCAGCTTTTGCCAAGAGGAGTTTCTAGCCAGGGGAGCTTCTTCCCCCGGTATAACTTGAACACGCACCAAGTCATGCGATCTGTGTCAAATAGTGAGCGGCCTCGTTTAGTACCCAAGCTTACCCGAACCACTATCAATGATTGTTTGACAGGTAGAGAGTATGTTTAAAATCCTTCAATTCTCTTTGTGGTGTTGGTATGAGAAACAATGGAATCAATCCCATAACAAGTTGTAAAATTTGGAAACGTTTCACCTTAACCACTGCATGTTTTGGTTACGAACTTTGGTGCAATATTAGAGATAACAGACAGTTAGAAATCGCTCAGCGTTATTTTGCCAAAAGATGCCAAGGTTTACCTTGGAGAACAACCACTGATGTTGTTCTTGCGCCTCTTTGACTATGGTCAATGGAAAGTTACAGAGACAAAACTAAATTGTCTTTTTTCGGTCGAATCTGTGTTTCAAAACCAGAATCTATTGAATTCCAAGTTCTAACAAGACGTATTAGGAGTTATATATTGCGTAACACTCACAACTTACTTTGCACCGGATTTATATCTGATGTTTTTCATATTTGCACGAAATGTCCCATCCTCCGTGATATACTAAATGATTTCTTACGCGTAGGTTCATTCCCTAGCAAACACAAGTGGAAATCCTTTATCATTGGCCAAATTCAAATGAGAGAAATATCTTTATGGAGAGAATCAATTTTGACAAATCCCAAAACATTACGATATAGCAACATTCAACTAACATATGAAACATCAGTTCTTTGGAAGCTTGGATTTAAATATCCAATGCTTACATGGACGTTTGGTCAACTTTTAAATTTAGCTGTTTTTCACACTGAAAAATAATATGTATGTAAAGCATGTAAAGTGCAAACAAGTGAAGTAGTTAAGCACGCCTTATTACAATGTAAAGCTGTTATGGCTCTAAGGGATACTTTGCTGGATGGCATTGTCAACATTCTTGATCCTGTCAGCTCAGTAATGCTTCTTAACACTGAAGAGGATATTTTGATAGAAACATTGCTTGGAGGGACCACTGATGTTCTCCAATACTGTAAACCAGAAACATGGGAATGTTTTTTATATCACATTGTGCAAATAAGATATCAGAAATAATTTACACCTTAACTATGTTAACCAGCTCTTGAACTGTATACCTCTTGTAAATTCTGTATATATCGTTTATACGTTTTATGAATTAATGCGTTTTAAATATTATATGTTCTCGTTTATGTAAACGTTCCTTGAATTGTTGTTCTATTTTCACATGTTATTTTTATGTAAACATTACTTTTATAATATATTCTATTTTTATTCTTGTACTCTTCCTTTATAAGGAGAAAATAAAGATAATACAATACAATACAATATACATGTATTACTGATTTGAGAGAAGCATAAAATGACAAATCCAGAACAGGTACGTGGTGTATTTTGTAAATAATTAGGTTTCAGTACGGTAACGTATTGTATTAGTTGTACATCAGATATTTAGCGGACGCTTACGTGCATGTACACATGTCAAGTCAAGGATGCTAGATTTGATAGCCTCTTTCAATGTAATTGTTATAATGGGTAAGAAATGGAATATTGAATTGCCTTACTCGTTTTCAGGACTCGCAAGAGACACTCTTGTTTGAGCCTCTATAGGGCAAGGGAAAAACCAAAGTGGCTTGCTTAAATAAATATATGAAACCAATGAAAGTGAAAAATATAGCAATGAATTCGAAGAGGCAAATTGACGTAATTCATGACTGAACTCGGGAAGACAAAAATATGTGATATTCTTTCAGAATTGTTTATAATAACTATTTATAAAATTGTTCCAAAGACACAAATCCATTTAGTTAAGATTTGTTTTAAAGCGAAAAGCCCCAATAAGACAATATAAATCCAGATAACCCGGAAGACTGTAGATTTCCATTAATGATTTACGTTCATGTGAACATGTAAAGAACATAAAACACTGGCCTACCCTACATGTAATAACATGTTCAAACTGAAATATAAAAATGTCAACATAGCATTTGCTTCCGTGTTCTGTATGCCCCTCTTCCTGCTTAATAAGGCAATGTATCTTCAAATAAAACCCTTTCCAAGTAGATTAGAGTCTCTGGAACACTTTTGAAAATAGTTTTCAAAAGCAATTTTGTTTGTGAATCTCAAATTTTGTCTTCCCGATTTCAGTCATGTATTACGTCAATTTTGCGTGCAAATTTCGGGTGGGCGTTGTTATTTCCGGACGCCACAACGTGTCAGAAATACATATATATTTGGATGATCTTGATTGGACATCAGGTTGCAGAGAAATCGTAATTTTACTGCATCTTTAAAATAGATCTATTAATGACTCAGCAAATCAAACTTTAACTTTCGTTCAATGATTCGATATGTTTGAACCTTTTGAGATAAAGTGAAATGTTATTGTAAAGTAATGTATTTTACGTTATAAAAATATTGATATTTTTAATCTTACTAAGTACAATTAACTGCGGGTCGAGTCCTCCTATCGGTTTACCGTTCCGTACATTGTTGCACTTGTACTTTCCAGCATCATCAAAGTCAACATCTTGTATGAGTAGGTTATACGGTATCGCAGTACTTATAGAGAACTTCTTGAGCATATCTTTTGCAGTGATTCTTTCATTATATGAGACAGGCTTCCCCAATCCTGTTCTTTTAGAGTCGGCCACCCATTGAACAATGTGGTTAGGCTTCGATCTAGCTTGATGAATATGGCATGTTAACTCAGCATTCTGACCAAAAAGCACAGCTTTGTCACGAGGACCCTCGTTGACTTCAACATATGCATATGTTGCTACAAAACATAAGTGAGAAGAATCCCTAAAGCAATAGTTTGTTTGGTAATGCAATCTAAACGTTTGTCTGTTTTATGTTCGATCAAATTATCATTATCATCTTCTCTACTTCGTATTATTTTTTCTCTTCGAGTGATTTTGTTATCATATTACACCCGGCGCCAAATGACATCAGTATTTTTAAAGAGAAAGTCATCTCGACATGCTAACTCCGTAGCCCCGTTTACACTGACTGGTCTTTTTGATCCCATGTTTATTCTCAATGGAAGAAAAGACCGCCGGTCTTGACAGGAATTTTATGTCGGACTTCAAAATAACTTTGCTGGTCTCGATCGGTATTTTTTTGATGGGATTCCATCGACTCCAAAGGTATCAGAACACATTTTGATATCATGGATTTATAAATAACAAAACCAGAATATTTAAATAACAGATGTATTTAGATCAGTAGATAAGTACAATTAAAGCAATTAAATACAAAAACTAACATTATTTTATTTTGGCTTGGGGCGGCACTTGATACATGATGCTAACTAAACATGTATCAATAGCATTCAAACTCACGTTCGTTCTCAAGCTAGGATCATGTGTCACGTAACAAAGTATTACGTAATAGTTGGGGTATCTGACACCTGTACACATGCTGCAGATCAGACAGCTGAATATGCCCAGTAGAAAGCTCCCATGACAGAAAGGGGTGATGAGGTATCTGACTCCCGACCATGCTTGGTAGATCGCGAAGACCTGACACCCAAGGCGAATAGTGCGGTAGATAGCCCCATGATGAAAAGAGGTATCTGACTCCCAACCATGCTTGTGGAAATAGACTTTAGGTCACCAGTGTTTCAAGGGGACTAAAAAAGTCCGGTGAAAAAGACCGGTCGGTATAAACGGGGCTTGCATATTACTCTGAAGATGATGTTAGATGTTTAAGAGCAAATTATGTTGAAATTATCTCTCATAATAAATGCACATTTTACATTTATATCTATATAGAAACATATAAATGTAAAAATGGCTTGCGACGTTTATAAAAAGATAACAATGAGGAATTCAAACAAAATTCTTAAATCGAAAAAGTGTTCCGAGTCTAAAAGAAATAGTTCATATTACCTTCAAATGTTGCAAGGTAGATTGCTAGAGCAACTTTAAAGATGTTTACACGCTCAATATCCATTTTGGGCCGTGTACTGCAAAGGTCTCAGATGTGTCTATGTCAAATAGTAAATAATTCAAAACGAAAATAAATTTATATTTGATCACTGATAACGATTACACTTATGATTTAGGCATGTTATCAACAATGGCTATGTGTGTGTAAGTGTAGGTTATTGGCAGTTCAAGAACCTGTTTGATGTATTTTAGAAACGGCAACACGGTTACACAAAAGCCTTGTCCATACATTTCCATATACATTTCCTGTGAATTTTGCCATGCACACGACCTGAAAGTTCCAAGATAATCGTTCATTGAAAGGTGTCGTTTATTTCTACCGTACATAATTAATTGTACTAGTTTATTTATTGAATGGAGCATGAAACTTTCCACATTTCATCATGATTCTAGTACCTATGATACAAGAGCCGGTATCTTCAATTTGGTCCATTGTTCATTGTTCATGGACAGAGATTAAGAAAACATAAATTACATGGCCGGAAATCCTACCTTTAAGTATATACATTTCCTTTCATCTTGAAATCTTTGAATATTCATTTATTTTATTCATTCACTTTGAACATATTGTATCCCTCTTGATATTACACATAGGTTTAAACACTTTGAAAATAAGAATCTACAATTCACGTATATATTACAGTTATCTCCACGGGATTTTTCTCATGTGGGTGCAAAATTCTCATTTTCACAATCCTGACCAAAATTGGTCAAAATATGCCAGTTTTTCACGATTTTCAAGTGGATGCAAATTGATTTTCAGGTGGATGCAAGTCTATTTTCAAAATCTCAGGTGGGGGCTAGCTGCGCCCACTTGCTTATTGCTTGGGAGATCAATGTACCATATAATTCTGTACATGTAATACACACTTTTAATTGAGGAAATGGTCGATTGAAAGAGGTCGTATGAAAAGGTCAAATATCAAAACGAAAGTAATTTTAATCTGAATTCTTTATTCTCATAGAAAAGGCAATTAAATACAAGTGTACTGTTTAGCTGGTTAGAATTGTAAACATGCTACTTAAATCTAATTTAATAGTTAATTACAGGGTGATCCAGAAGTAACGTCAAAGATGTTGTAATTTCAAAAGTATTCATCAGATCTTCATGAAATTTGGTATACATGTACCCACAACATTTCTGAGTTACCATCTCAAAGATTGGAATTCAATCATTTCATTGGTTGAAATTATGGTTGCTATAGTAACCCGATATCGCGTAACCCAGGGCAAATTACTTAACGTGTAATGCGTAATCTCAAAATATCAACAAGATCTGAAATTGTTATATCCTCAACATTTTATTTCACAACAATATAAATCATACTATTGCACAGTTACTAATAATAGTTCATTCTACATAATTGCCACCATTTGCAACACATTTCTCATGTCTGGATACCCATTCCTTGAACACAGAATTAAATCCATTAGAACTCATTCCTTGTAGGGCTAGTACTACGGCATTTTTCAATTCCTCACAGGATTGAAAATTATTTCCACTAAGGTTTCTTTTTAGTTCCCCATACAAATAAAAGTCACTGGGGGCAAGATCAGGTGAATAAGGGGCATGTTCAAGTTGTTGAAATCCAAGTGTTTGGACTGTGTTGCTGGTCAGGATTGCAGTGTGTGTTAAGTGTGTTAAGAAAGTCATCTCCATCTCTCCGATATTTTGCAAGAAAGTCCCTTGAAGCCTTAACACGCCGGTCTTTCTGCTCCTGTGTCAAGTCATGCGGCACCCATTTAGCAGACACCTTCTTTAACAGACAGTTCTTTGTCAGTATCCGTTGCACAGTCCCATAGCTCAGATCGTGTTTTTCAGCCAATTCTCTGATAGAAATTTGCCTATTGTCCATAACATCAGCTTCAATTGCTTTGATGGTTTGATCATCGAATGACGACACTGGCCTGCCTCCTCGCTGCTTGTCTACCACTTCATCATATCCACTGGAATACTTGTTAAACCACCTGTAAATGTTTCTCTCAGCAATGGCAGCTTTACCATATGCCTTCTTTATCTGTCTTATAGTCTCTTTTACACCTTTCCCCAACTTTACACAGAACTTAATGTTTGTTCTTTGCTCTATTTTACTCTGACTTGGCGCCATCTTGAATTGGGTGGGTTAGTGTCCTTGGTCATGTTAGTATTTGTCATGGATGATGGAAGCAATTCAAAGAAATTGAAAGCTTTTTATGAATGCCTATTGTGACATCACAACTATTACATATTTGTTACCATGGCAACAAATATAAAAATCATAGAAAACAAACAATGAACATTTTCAAATGTTACTGACTTTTTAAATTAGAGAAATTCACAAAAACGTTATGGTTTCTCTTCAATTTGCCCCGGGTTACGCGATATCGGGTTACTATAGCAACCATAATTTCAACCAATAAAATGATTGAATTCCAATCTTTGAGATGGTAACTCAGAAATGTTGTGGGTACATGTATACCAAATTTCATGAAGATCTGATGAATACTTTTGAAATTACAATGTCTTTGACGTTACTTCTGGATCACCCTGTATTACGTTAAAATGAAAACACTTGGTCGCCTATCGTTAACAAACACTGTTAAAAAATAAATGATTGTTCAGAACTTGTCCTGTCAACTTGAGAGGTTCAACTTGAATTTCAAACAATAGTTTTTAAGTGTGATTTTATATAACATGGTACACGTTGACTTGCAGCAGTATTTGTTATCAAGATATAATATATATTGACATACTGACTTTTCTAGTTTGAGTAATGACTTACGATACACCAAGTAGTAGTTTGCGTAGAATTATGTCATCTTGGTATCCAGGGTGTATTTTTCACAAATGAATACCAGTTGTTGAATGCACTTAAATATAAAGTAAAAAGGCAATATTTTAACATTGCATAGATTGAATACTGGTTAAAGGCAAATGGCAAACACAAACTCTCTGAAGCAGATAGTGACAATGATGACAGTGACAGTGAATATGATTCAAAAAGCCGTATTCCCAAGTTCAGATAAAACAAGACAAAGCTTATTTCGGCTTTTGCATACATACGTTTCTTAACGTACTAACCATGCACCTGCAGAACGCTTTGTACAGTTATTATGCTAAACTACAATAGTTGCTTTTCTCTAGAATGTCTCATTGAGCCTGCTCAAATAATCAAAACGAAACAAGCAACGAGGTAATATAAACAAGATTTTATCTTAACATTATTCATCAAATTCACAAAAAACGGATCACAACAACACAATATTTGTCAACAATAAACCAGACTAGTAATTTTGATAACACATCAAAGAGGACGAACAATTAATGAAGTCCCAATCTAATTGCTCATATCTCTTACATACGTTACATATATTTTGAGACCAACATACGGGCACAGTATTGTCCATTCAATGACAACATCTACAAAACAACAGTGCTTGAATTGATCGCAATTGAGCTTTCGTGTGGCTCGAGCGAATTGAACCCAGACAGCCCATCAGATTCAGCTGAATACTTTTTTATTTCGTTTCGAATTTCTGACCATCTATAAGTTAATAAATTTCTGCGTATATTAGAGAGGTTTCGCAAAACGAATTAGCTAAAACGTATCCGCATCCGTATCTCGTTACGTTTACGGATACGTATTTCGATAATTTTCGTTTCGCAGTTCGTTTTTTGATGTACGTAATTATAAACGCATCTCAATCCGTGTTTGAAAGTAGTGAAAACTAGGCTCAAATAAAAGGCTTCATCTGCACTAAGATTTCAAAACAACATTGGGAGTGTCAGCTCGACGCGAAGCTAACGCCTATCATACCAGTTGAATATCTCACCATCATAATTCCCTATATCCCCTCCTCGGGTCTACACAGAATCAACTGATAAACCAACATCATAATACCCTAAACCGGCCATTTGTTTCTTAACCCAAAAAACACCACAACCTGATCGGACACAGCCCACAACTCGACATATATAACGTATTACAACCAAACACAACCTAGATCACCAATCATGCAACAGTACAATAGAACATAACCCAGTGTCAAAATACACAGAACGCCAATAGAGCATTACCCAGCACCAAAGCCAGCATAGCGCAACCTGACTTACAACCACCAAAACACAACCAACTGTCAGATTAACACAATATGTCGCAGCCCAATAATAAGACAACAAAGACAAACACACCCAATTGTTGAATTAACTCAAAACAATTGTGCACAATCCAACACTAAACAATAAAAACACAATCAGGCACAACAAATAAAACACAACTAGACTAACAACCATGAAAACACATCGAACTGTGAAATTATCACCACACAATTTGGCACAACCCAATGGTAAACCAACAAAAGCAAACACAGCCCATTGTTCAAGTAACACAACACAATTTTTCAAAACCCAAAACCAAACAATCAAAACATAATCAGGCACAGGCAAAAAAACACATTAAAATTGTAATACCAGGATGCACAACTAGCTTAACCCAATTGGAGACAACGCCAATCACACAACACAATCAGACACAACAAGATACCTCACCCGACTAGCCACAACCAGTTAGCCAACCAACATAAAGCAACCCATTATAAGATTAACATAACACAATGGGACACAACCCGATACTAAATCATCAGACTAACAGCCATCAAAAGAGAACCGAGTCTCAAACGTACACAACACAATTCGGCAAAACCTATACCTACTTGACACTAACCAACCATTATATAACCAGGCTTAACCAAATACTCAATCGATTTACTCAACCCATCAAAACACAATCAGGCACAACCAATAAACCACAACGAAACGTTGATACCGACCCGATATCTACTGAATATGTACTTGAATTACAACCCCCCTTCCCTATCATCATAAGGCTGCTAATGAAGAACACATCATGGACCACTGCCCAAGAGTTAGGAACATCTGGGGCCCCTACCGTGACTCATATGTAAGAGAGAAGATCCGTTACAGGATCTGGATGTCAGGCCTGTCTTTACAAAAATGAAAATAGGAAATGCTAATATCATCATCCTAGGATCAAAGAAATATACTCTACCTGTTACATAATCACTGACGGGGTTTCGGGGAAGCTTGGGCACTAAGCTTTAGGGCACTAGTCCCCCTGGACCCCCAAACGAGGTCGCTTACTATTTGGCATAGATCGCATGACTTGATGACTTGATGCGTGTTCAAGTCATACCACGGGAAGAAGCTGCCTGGCTAGAATCTTTTTCAAATACATTCAGTTTTTCATCATACTGAGCACTTTTCGGGAGTTTTAAGCCAAAAAGCTCCCCCTTGCCACAAGCTTGATACGGGCAAGAGTGATGCGGGGCGCCATCTTTAGACCCATTATCACATTCATTGTCGAGGTCAGGACCAAGCTACTATACTCAAACTAAGCCCAAGACCCTGCTCTATATGAATTCAGAGCGTGACTTAAGGCACAAAATATATATTCAGGTGGCCTAGGTGCTAACCATTGGTTTGATGTCCCTAAGAAATTGACTACGGTATTACTATTGACCCCAGAAACGATAGACCTTACATCTGCCTATTAGCAAATGTGACTAAAGCTTTATTCGTAAAAAATGCAGGCCCCTCGCTTATAATCAAATTTATCGGCAGATAAGGCAATTACTTCATCAAAATTAGCACGATACACATGATAACATATGTAGGTTACTAAAATTATACATTTAGGGAAAAATTTATCAAGATTTGAAGGACAAAATAGATACGGAGACAACTACGCACAGAAAGTGTTAGTTTACGTACTTTCGGTATTGCTGTTGGTATCACAAGCGTATTGAGTACACTTTTACTCCATCGATGCGTTACGGATTTTGATACGGGTAGCGAAAACGTTGTGCGAAACATGTACACTGTAATTATTGCAATACCATTCCATTCAGAGTAAATTGAATTGAACATACCATTTGAAAAACTCGATTTATTTCAAACAATAAACAAATTCATTCACCAAATTTTAGTCAAATTATACACAGCACACTGTGTTTGTTCATATAGTGATACCTTTAGAACTAAAAACAATATAATCAAAGGGTAAAATCGGATACGTAAATGACCAACGTACAAAAGCCTAATTTTTCGTGTTTTCCGTATCATTTCACGTATAAATTGAACTGACTACGCATAAATCTGGTAAATACGTTACGGATACGGATCCGTGGAGCTAAAAAACGTTTTGCGAAACCTCTCTATTATGGGATTGACACCGTAAACGTAGGTGTCGACAAGTAGTTAAATGGACAAGTTTTACATCTCATAATGCAAAATCAAGGGGTACTCTTACTATGTTTAGACGAGACAATGCCTCTTTAAAGGTTGAGTGCCCGGAAATATTAACTAATACACGTCATACTTTTTGCGGCTTGGTTGAATGGCTATTAATCTCAAGATCCGATGTGACTCATCAAGAAGATGATAGAGAGACAAAGATTATGTCAAGCGGAGATTGTAATTTTTGTGCAAATTTTCTTCTTGGATCAAAAAAATTCATTTTAATTCAATTGACTTACGATAGGTGGCAAAAGGCCCAAAGGTAGGAAACAACGAATCATATGACACGAAAACAATGATTCATTCGCCTGACGGCTGAGTTAAATGAGGTCGATTTTAAGACTAAACCCGTTTAGCTCAGCTTCGATTTTGCTTTCGCAGTCGAACGAAACTGAAACCTCTTTCGTCGATACCTAAGTGAGTGATTTTTTCAGGCTTCGGTATTTTGACAAAAGTAAGTTCAGGTCGTAGCCATTCCTCGGGGCAGGCTTGAGACAGCAAAGATTTTTTTGAGTTTTTCCGATTTCCGGATATTGCACACTTAAGGTTGAACGACAAACTTAAATAAAACATTTTAGATTGGTATTACCATAATATTTGTTTATATATTCATTAACAAATAAATTAATAAAAATGAATATATTTATAAATAAATATCACCATGTACATGCATACTAGTATTACAGGCATAAGTTAATATGTTGATTATAAATAATCAGGAGTCCCTGTTCGTATGTGTGTTGCCGTTCTGTTGAAGTTGTACTTCGACAGTAGGATATTATACTTCAATTCCTTTAATTTAGATTCGATTAAAGTCACTCTTCCGCTCGAACTGGACAAGTCAATTTAAACATTCCGTTGCAACTAAGTGTGCCTTCCATTTACAGTTTTTCATCTAGGTTTTCGGGATTGATATTCACATAGAGATGTGCATTAAATGCACTCATGTTCATGTACGGAGTCTCTTGTTGAAACATCTCCTCCATCTTAGATACAAGGTCACAAAAGCTAGGTCGTGTGCCTGCATCTTGCTTCCAGCATTCTGTCATCACAGTATACCTTTATAGAATGACAAATGACAAAATAAACTTAATAAAATTCATAAAATGTCCATTGTCATTTTTAAGTCAGCAGACACAAAATGGAGCGCCGTCTGCTAAGATTGCACATACTGCAAAATTTAGAAATGACATAAAAACTATACAGAATCACCTACCTCATTTATCATTTGTCTCAAAGGCTCAACTTCTTCCCGTATTATAATTATGTTTTATTAAAATTTATCAGGCGTAAAATATAAACTGTATATTTTGTATTTTGACTGCAAGACGTGTGATATACCAAGCACAGCTATAATGACAATACGAATTTATTTTTTGTCAGTTTCATATTATCTAGTTCTCACTGTGCAGAAGCTACTCACAGTTCTAATTTACAATGTTGTGGTCTGTCCATCACTTTCCCAGATTTTACCATATCCAATACGCCCTTGCTATTCATATGCGGATAAGGTGTTGAGCCTAAACATGATTAAAGCACTTGTTAAGTGGGTGAATCGATTAATCTTGAAAGGAGGGCGAGCTGTTTGTAGAATGAATCGGGGGATTTTTTTCATGAATTTCGCTTATGTTTTTCATCCAAAAAACATCAATACACTTTAAAACATCTTGTTTACTTTAAGATTACACCATGTAATCCAAATATATATATTTCTCATTTTCAAAGATAATCCATGGATTAACACCCAGGTATTTTTATTTTTCAATCTTCAGACGGCTGGGAATCAAAGATGCCCAACGCTTTTGAATACGATAAATGCTGTTTTAAATAGGTTTTACGTATGCCGATAATTTCTCAAATTATGTAAGCTGAATGCATTCCTTAATCCCTAGAATGCCTATCATAATAACATTCTTTTGTCTTGGCCACTTAATATGTTTTGTTGCTGTCTGATCATCAAATCAAATTGTTGTTATTTAAAGATGTCAGTCAAATCTGGTGAAACAGCACAACATTTACCTAAATAGCACGAGTACATATTATGTAACTCATTCATAATATTTCATGCATCAGGTATTAAGGCTTAGGGGATTAACTTTTACACATAGACTGAACTGACAGATGTGTACGCTTACATGTACAACTTCTAGGATTATAAGAATTCAAAAGTTGTTGATAGCCATATTTTCCTGAATGTGACATCGAGATATTATGGCATTTATGAGTGGTAAAACATGAAAAAAGCATTTTCATTTAAAATTAGCATATGATTTGAATTGATGCCAAGAAATGTATCAGTTAACTGTATCCGTTTTACATCCATTGCAGTTGGCTACATTATAAGACAAGGCATTCACATGCAAAATGTCAACACCTGCCATTTGTTACAGACACCAACTGCCAAACACCAACTGCCAAATGATAAACACCAACCGCTGAACACCGTCCACAAAAAAGTTTGAGACCATAACAATATGTCACCACTTATGGTGGTGACATAAAAATGATCATGGAAAGATGTGTTTTTTTAAAAAAAAGTAGGAACTTCTGAGGTTATTAGAAAATTGGAAGACAAGGAAGGATTCTGTTATAGAGAAAGCATGAGTGAGAGTTGATTCTTTGAAAATAACGGTGAGGCGTTTATATTTTCTCTAACTTAAAACCCATACACTGATACCTATGCAAGCTAAACGGTAATCCTTAGTAACCTACACGCTCTAGTAATAGCCAATTTTCAATGAACTATAGTAAGCGTAGTGAGTGCACTGACCCGTGATCATTTGAATGGGCAATGGTGATTATGTAGTACTGGATTTGTATGAATTGCATGTATGTACAACGCTATGTTCAGTACAGTTAGTTGAACATTCGAGAAGAAGCATGGAATACGAAAGGATAGATACCTTGACTCGGGATACCTAGTATGTATCCAACAGACTGACTAAGAAGTCTGTTATGATGTACTACTTCCCTGTGGAAATTGCAGTGATTTTTTTGCACAAAATTATCAATTAGAGGAACGATTTCTTCAATAAAATAAACATTACAAAATCTCTACTAAGTAGTAAGGTACTATTAAATGCAATAAAAAGTAAAATAGCATATTGTTAAATGGAAATAAAGCTAGTTCAAGTAACAAATGTGCAAATTAATTTTACCCAATCGGCCATTTTGAATAGCACTTCCTAGGTTAACAAATATTTAGGATTACCAAACTTAAACATAGTTACCTCATCTTCGTTCACTCGGCTCCCTGAACGCAGTGAAGACCAAGCATGCGAAGATGTAGCTGCCTTATAGTCTGAATATAATTTAGACTACATAGGATATAGTCTATCAGGATACCTTCAAGGAATTGACAGACATCGACACGGATGAAGATCTTGAGAACTTTCTTGGGAACTTATAGGAGGAGTAAATAAATATGAAATAGATAGTAGTGAAATTGGCACATTTGATTTACGGTACAGTGTCGAAACATCCGACATATCAGAGCCTGAATATTCCTCCGATTCTAACACTAGATTTGGAAAATCTGTATCTGATATGGATATTGACAAGAAAAGCATACAGTTGTTGGCGTAAAGTGTGGATTCTTTTTTTACGAATCCACGGTTGCAGGGGGTCCACTGTGAGTGCACTCACTAAACAAAAGATTTGCTTTTGTTTCCTGATTGCAATTCTCGCAGACCCCCTGTAGCTGTAGATTCGTGAAAAATAATCAACTGTTTGGTCTGTGTACTACCTTCAGCGGGTTTTAAGGGAAGGATATTAGGGTTATAAATTGCAATGAAACTAAAACAAAACATTCTTTTTCTCAAATATCACAGTGTATATTCAAATCACAAATACAATATCATACAATTGCAATAAGGGTCTAGTGCACTTTCCATTATGATATCCCCATGAACAAAATGAATCATTTTTAGGTGTAACATACACTAGACAAACAGGTTGGAATTAACACATAATAATCAGCGATTAATTTTTAAGAATAATCATTAATAAGCAGACACAGTCTGATCCTGACCTAATTATAACTTTTAAAGGCTAGATACAATGGCAACAGGCATGGCCTTGCGATAATCACTTTTGTCTTTACTGAATAACCGACCAACTGATTATTGTGACTGATTAAACTTCAAAGGGCTAATTACAAATGACACTGCTGGAATACAATCTCTTGTCTAAATAAAATGATCAACCTGTCTGTGATAAGAAGTATAAAGGAATTTAAAATGTATCTAATATATTATACAATTAGACAGACTGGCTATTCTAATCCGTTATGAAAAGTCATTTGTTTTTTTTCCACTACAGGATGTTTCTACGGAAGTTACTTTGATTATTTTAGTCTTTAGAGGCACTGTCCCTTGACGCTTTTATGAAATCAATGAACTTTTGATGGACTACAATTGTATATTTTTACATTACATTATTTTCATTTTAGGTCTCTCTTATTACATGTAGTTGCATTGCAGAAGTCTAATGTTATTCTCTCCGTGTGCCGAAAGTACTTATACCCGTAGCCAAGGGGTGGGGTGGTTCAAGGAGTGCGAGTGAACAGAATTCGAATTGAATACATAATAAATACGTAACATATAAATATATAAGTACATAATGTCTAGCCAAGTCTTCTTACATTTTCTGAACTTCAAATGCGCCTTTTGACGTGTGGTAACAAAATACAAAATAAATACTTATGTTTCTTCAGCTTGTTTTTATATTAATTTGGCAATAAAACATGCATAAAGAGATAACAAATTGTGCACTGTGCGCAACCCGAATCCCCTCCCCGATCAGGTCGCGTTTGCTGTGTATGTAATAATGTACAAAAGTAATGTAATAAAGACAATTATGCTCCCCCCCTATTGCAACATTTTGTCAATTAAAAGTATTAGCTCGGAGCATCAACACACGTTTGATTGAAATAATTTAAATCAAAGTTCCAAATGAATAAATGAATAAAGAACATGAAGGTTCTGTTTGACATTCGAGAAGAAGAATTTGTCCAGTCAAAAATAGATTTCTAATATTTGATCTTGATTAGATGTATTTTTTGATCTTTGTTTTTAAAACTACAGATGGGTCACTCAATTCTGAAGTAAACAAAAAATAATCCTATACACGACAACTTGGTTCCCATGATACTGCTTATAACCTATAATACTCATTTATCAAAACAAATATTAATTAATCCGTCCGTCTGATTACATTTTGTTCCCTGACTCAAACTAAGCAAACCCCGATTACAGTTCTGAATTCCTCACTTGAAACGATTTAGCCAACATGATACAATATGAAATTTGATTAATCATACATGTACTGGTATAAAGCCTATTGTTATAAAAACCCATAAATGCTCACAATATAAATATAGTTTATTGATGGCCAATAACAGATATCAGGGGCGTAGCCAGCTACCAGTCAGGGGGGAGTGCGATTGCCAAAAATATTTCGGTTTTCAGTCGGGGGGAGGGGGAGGATGCGATTGTGACATAAACAGGGGGGTGCGATTATGACATAAACAAGCCAAAAATGATTTTATATTGAATTTTACAAAAACTGGATGCAAGTTCCTTCCAAAGTGAGCTAGAAGCTTCAAATAAAAAGCATTTAAAAGCTCTTTGAGTCCTCTTTATCAGGGTTTGATTTTTATTGGTTTTCGCAACCCCCCCCCCTCCTCCTTGGCTACGCCTATGGACATTTAGAAAGTTTCAAATAAATAACTCAGCAACCAACCACGCAAGTAGCCAACCAAGCAAGTTAACCAAGCAAACGACCATCCAAGCAAGCGGGAAACTAAACAAGTAAAAAAGCAAACCATGCAACTTACAAATAATGCAAGCAAACAACCGACAAACCAACCAAGCAAGTAGCTAATTAAACTCTAATGTAAGAAACCAAGGAAGCAGCAAAGCAACAAAGAAAGAATGTTAGCAAGTAAACGGCCAATCAAGCAATCAATCGTGCTAATAAACAAGCAAAAAAACAATCTACCATCCAAGCAACTAATTAACATAATTCAATAAGATAAAAATTTAACATTGCGCACATTTGCTCTACGGTAATAATGAGTAATATAGAACTATCATATTGATTGCATTTATTGAACACAGAAATGAAACACATTGAAGCATAGTTAAATAATTGGGGATGGGAGGGGGTAGTGTACACACGGGATACTGAATTCTTCCTCTTAAACTTAAATTTCAGTGAATGGAATGAAGGCTTCCCTTTGTTATAACATCTTATTTCAATACACTGGATATTATGTAAAAGTATTGATGTGTATTTCTTATTCCCAACAATAGAATTTCATATCAAACATTTTAATTATAGTTTTACAGTGGTATCACAACGTTATTGCTTCAATAAATGCAACACATTTACCAGATTTTAGATTGGACTTTCTACACGATGATGAAATATTTTCTTGGTGATATTCTTTAATTACTACTAATTAGTATAAACTATTGATCCAATTGCAGAAATCTGCTGCATGATAATTGCTAATAAAAAATCTCGAATCCTGGTAATTGAAGTGGGACAGCTAAATAGAGTCTAACATTAAATGAAATTCTAAAAATGTGTTTCTTTTATTTTTTTGTTTGGTTGATAATGAATTAAAAAAATGATGTTTGAATAAAAAATTCAATTTCGCAAAAATTCATATTCTTTAGCTAGACAAAGGCTATAGTTTGTTTATTCAACGGATAATAATTTGAAAGCGCTAGACGCATACATGGCAGACGGTTCTTAATTGTTAATGAAAACAAAGCGATAATCAGTTGGGTGAATAATCACTTGACATAATAATCAGTTGGAATTTTTGCCATTGGCTACACATTAATAAGAATTGATTATCGTAATAACCAGTGAAAACACTGATATTGTTGATTAATAAGTCTCGATAATAAGCGATAACCAGCAATAATAGTCTCGATAATAGGTTTTAACCAGATAATAATCATTTATTCACTGATTATTTGTGATTAAAATTGTTTATATTTGGTCACTTCGCCCAGTGATAAAGAATACAATGTCACATAATACTGTGGAAAATATTTGAGCGTTTGGACCCACATGGGCTGAGGTTGAGGTCATTTAGTTCAGCAAGGGTGTATTGACTTGCCATTGAATGGGCTCCATTGACTTAACATGTGGATATCATCAATTCCAATAGAGGCCATTGGTTTCTATTGATTTTCACAAAAATACCTAAAATACACTATGACCTGAATCGATTGCAAATTAAATAATTTCACAGTATGACACAAATGGTATATCACATCAGATGTGCAAATATAAAGTTTGCGATCGATCCAGGTCATACTTCAAATTAAAAGATTATACATTTTTTCCATCATTTTTCCTACAAAATGGCTATAGAAAATGCTTCAAAAGCAACTTTTATACTAATGAAATCCCATACAACGTTCTAAATCCAAAGATTATACTGTTATGTTTCATTAATTAATAACAAATATTTGGATAATATGTTGGGATGTGTAGGATGAAAATGGATTTTGACAGACACAAAAATACTTCTTGGTTTGGCATCTCTGCCCCTGTACACTTTATGATTGAATATTGGCCCTAATCAGTGGCCCATTCATCAATACAGTGCTGAATATAGGTCAACAAGATACTAGTGTACATATAAATGTAATAATACCTATAGCTAGGTCTGAATATTAAACTCCAGCCAAATAGAGCCACTACAATATTTCAACCTTTGTAACCCTTGCAAAAAGATTTTCTTGCAATAAAAATGTGAAAATAGCTTAGGGTACTTGTAAGCCAATCTGATTTTAAGGTAGACATGTCTCGATAGTTTTCAATAATTTTCATGCTTATAAATACCGATAATCAATGAAAGGGACAATATTTTCACATTTGTAATTGTATGTGTATGCATGGCCCATGTGTATGTTACCATAATTCCTTTTATCCCATACTTGGACGTGTTACAGGTACATAAAGCCAGTTTGTAAAAACTTATATTTTCATCAGCGGGCAGATATAGCTTTACGTCCCGCTCTGAGCGGGCAGATATAGTATATCTGCCCGCTACGTCATAATCGCCGCTCGCATATTTGTTCATAATTTATAACGTTCGTGTGATGACAGTAAACGACAATGGAGAAAACACAGATAATCGGGATCTGTTTGATGGTTTAAAAAAGGGAAGGAGCATCCACGATATCAATCAAAAATTCGAGAAAATAAATGTGGGAATATTTGAGAGAACAGGAAAATCCACTCACGGCCAAGAAAACAAAACGGGACATGAATATTCTAAGATATTTTCACGATTGAACAATGTTGGTATGGGATAAACATATTATCCTATAGTCGGTTCAGGATATTGGGATTATCCCTTGGCCAATATAATATATTTTCCCTCGGGACCTGCGGCCCTCGGGCAAATATATTATATTTGCCTCGGGATAATCCCAATATCCTGAACCTCATATAGGATAATCTCTATATATCCACTTAAAATGTCAAAAATATTGCCCAATTTATAATTATCAGATAATTTATTCATCACCAAAATTAGTAAAAACTATCAACATGCAGAACGACCTTAAAGAGTTTAATCTCTCACTCAGTCACAATCATGTCAACCAAAACTTTACTCGTGTTACATAATATAGGATTATACAGCTTACCATATGTGTGCAATCTATATAGCATCCACACTGACATCTTTACAGAATCATATATAATTTTTGAATATAACTCAACCCAATAAGGCGAGTACTAAAGAATTTACTTACCTGCCATCTAAAAATCTGCTTGGAACTACCATTGGATTACCATTGGATTCCTCCAAGAGAATAGTTTAGGGATTATGGAATGCATTCAGCTTACATAATTTGAGAAATGATTGGCATACGTAAAACCTATTTAAAACAGCGTTTATCATATTCAAAAGCGTTGAGCATCAATGATTCCCAGCCCTCTGAAGTTTGAAAAATAAAAATACCTGGGTGTTAATCCATGGATTATCTTTGAAAACGAGAAATATATTTTTGGATTACATGGTGTAATCTTAAAGTAAACAAAATGTTTTAAAGTGTATTGATGTTGTTTGGATGAAAAACATAAGCGAAATTCATGAAAAAATCCCCCGATTCATTCTACAAACAACTCGCCCTCCTTTGCATTTGATGAAATCAATATTTATCTTACACAAAAACAACACATTTAAATAATTTATTACCAAATGTAAGTATTTCCCAAAGGGTTATACCAAATGCCCAGACATCATTCTTTGTTGTGTAAGTATTGTTGAAAAGAGCTTCGGGGGACATCCATCTAATTGGAAGTCGATCCTGCTTGTTCAATACAATAGTACAATAAGGTAATGTGGACTTTTACATACGAATATAAAAAAAGATGATAACATATTTTTATCAAGATATGTTACATACTTATATAGATTACGAGCCGCACTTCAAATTCAAATATTATTCTCAAACTATGTTGAATTGATGACTTGCCTCACACATTCTGTAGTAAACCCCACTATCGCCGACATTTCTAGAGAGACCAAAGTCGGAGATCTTGCAAACTTTTTTCGCACTAAGCAAAACGTTTCTTGCTGCAAGATCACGATGCAAGAGCTATAAGAACATTAATGAATTTATTTGAATATATCTTACACCCATTGATGTAATGGATACTTTTAGTCTGTTTGATGTCAATATTTTTGAATCATGTGAACACTTATAATGTACCGTTCAAAAGTTTGCACGAGTCCCCCACGTGGGGAAGGTGGGGTTTGATTCGCAACCTAGCCCCAAGGGGTTGAAAGACAGAGAATTTCGTCCTTTGAGTGGTGAATTCCATAAAAATGATCGAACCTACAGCTATATCCTCAATTTGTTGAAGAGATACAAACCATGCCCTCCTGGCTCATTTTTGTCAAAACTATAAGGCTATTTGAATGGTATTCTCTATTTCACATCATGTTGAAAACGCATTGTGAATGCGCTGTATTCTTATTGACCTCAAATTACGCGGTAATTGCACAATTTAAAACGGTTCTCTATTGGTCAACGTTGACATTTATGCACGCCTAATCATCGACAACGTACAGTAATAAAAAACACAGTCGTACACTTTAGATGTACGGTGTCACTATTAACCGATTCGAAGCAAAGACAATGCTGTAGATTTGATGTAGGTTTTAAAAAATGTATCTGAGTTTGTGTATTCGTTTTTGGAAGACATTTAACTTTCCTTTGATCTTTTCTTCGCCTGTCGTCTGAGAGTGTCGACTATTTTTATGAGAATATGTTTCTCTAAACTAAACAATTTAGGACGGTTGAAGATTAATAAATATCCAAGGATTTATTGGAATTTAAAAAAATCAGAAATGTGCGTTGTCAACTCGAATGTACGTTGTCACTGTAATTGAAATTCAGGAGATATGATATTATACAATGTAATGATTTCATTTAAAAAGTCATTATGGTTTTTATAAGTAACGAGTGATCTTATTCAAGTATTCTTTGTACAGATGATTTCAAAGATAAGGTAAATGTGATGTTTTGCTTTTTCATTTCATGAAAGTATTGTTGTGGGTGGTGGTTAATTTGTGGCCATTGGGTGTTAGTTTCCAGCCCAAACTCCCATGTAGTGTATCAGAATAGAATATGTTGAAAACTAGCATTGCCACGGAGTTTGCTTCCAGCCTATTGGATTATTTGGCGTCTGTACCTTACGTTTTGTTAGTGACATAGATAGATAGATCTATACTAGCTTATCGAATATTAATTTTTAAAATCCCGTTCATTATATATCTAGAAAGTGCTCAATAGTTTTTAAATAGTTCAATCAAATTGAAGTAATTCTGTAACTATTCTGTCTCAATTTCAAATGCATCTGACCCCCCCCTGTTAGTGTTATAAAAAACACGTTGCCTGCCATTGGGTTAACTGTGAATAGAGTAAGTTCAATGGGACACCGTACACTTATGATTTTTTAAATTATAGCCAAAACGTCAATACTTATTAACTCTTCAACACACCTTATTTTTTAATTTAAGAAGCATATCCTCTTAAAATATTCGACATTTGGATTCACGCTGTTTCCACGTTGATTCCGCGTGGATAGGTTTGGGGTTGTATAAACAAAGTGCTGCACATGTATCTGTCTCAACAATCATGAGCATTAGCCTGCTCAGGAGAAAATCTGATGTTTAAAGAGTACATACGGGGAAGGGTCCGGGGATCGGGAATATTTGACCAAATTTATTGCTACCAGGGTTGGAAAATCACACATTTATTTGACCCCGGGTTAAAAAATAAGACAGGCCACTTTTGTCAAATTCCCCATACATGCCCGCGTGGGGTGGTCTCGTGCAAACTTTTGAGTGGTGAATTTATATGAAAATAGTACTATGGACGAGAAAGAAAGAACGACTTCAATATTGTCTGAAGTGGTAAATGTGCTAAAACATACAAACCATAGGAAAAATGTTCTAACGTTTAACAAAAATTTCCATCTGTGTTTTATTTAAACGAAATTTCAGTTGGCAAAATAACTATGTGCAGTTACTAGGACTGTAAGGAGTGTAATAACAAGGAGACTCGCCTTGTGTGATGCAATATGGTGCATTCCCTTTGCAATATCCAATCCAAATTGAACCAATTCTTTACTGGAACCCACGTAATCAGCCTCTAGGTATTTTGATTTATTGACCCTTAAGTAGCTGAGCAGGTCACCGAGAGGTAAATACTCAAAAAGTATTAGAGTGCGTTCTAAAACATACAATGCATCATGTAACTTGTTGCTGTATTTCCTCGTTATATCTATCATTAAATGTTCAAAATCACAATCGGCATGGTTTTGCTCGGCTCAGTTTGCTTCACGGAGGTGTGGCTACTTTCGTTGCTTTTCTATTTTAATATTTGAAACTTTATTGAGCAATAGCAGATTTTTAGATCAGTTGATATAACACTGATGCAACACGAAACAAATGCATACAGAATACATATTTGCATTTAAATCATAATCTATATGCCATTATTTGATGACCAAAAAAACTAATTGTTTAACGATAATGTCTGCAGAGGGGGTCAATCCGACTCCTTTCGATTTTTTCAAAAGTTCTTTTTGCAAACGTTTTTTGTGTCTCTGTTATTTTCTAGCTTGACCCAAAGATATAAGACACTTTTGCCATAAAAACCAAGGTGATTGGAGGTAGAGGGGTAAAGTTATAATAGTTGGAACTTGGTGGCAATAAAAGGGAAATTCAAAATATATTGATCGTTGCCTTGTTTTTCATATATTAGTACAGAAAGATGAGTATTGCTCTGTTTGATGGATAGTAATTAAGCACATTGAATTATCTTTCCATTATTTATGTTTTGCATTTTATGCATTTTATGCTTTGTCATTTTTTTGTTTGTTTCCATAATTATTAACTCCTAAAGTGGTAATTATTTACGACAATACAAACATATAAATCAGACACATACAAATATTAAAGCCAGACAGACAATTAAGTAATTAAAATTCGCAGAGAGGGGGGTCAAAAGCCCCCTTGAGAGTTAGTGTTATGAAAAAGGTTGCAGACATTATGGTGAAATAAACCCTTGACAAAACCATTGAAAGTGTTTTAAAATATGACGGGACATTTGCCTTGAAATTAAGAAACTGTAGATGATATCCATATTGAAGTTTCCAGGTGGTTCTTAGGAGGTACATATATTGATTTGCGGGCTGTTTTTTTTGGTTGACAACACTCCTTATTATAGAATGCATCGAATAATGTCCCTACCATCGCTCGTTGTACAGAAACCTAGGAGCTCAACTACATTGCTATGTTTTGGTAACTGCTTCATCAGCTGGAGTTCACAGAATAAAGCCTGATTATCGTCGTCAGATGCATTTTCTAAATAAGAAAATGTATGTGCTATAACAATGAACGATCAGGCTAAACAACAGCTAGTGTTAAAATGTTGAATATTTTAACATGTTTTACCTTTTAACATCTTTCCAGCGACCTTGAAAGGTGTAGTGTCTCCATTATTCACATTTACCAATTTTACGACACCAAACTCGCCTGTACCTATCGTGTCCCTAATGTCAATATCTTCAGGTTGGTACTCACGTATGGTCTAAATCAAGCAAAACACCCCTTTTATGCTAAACAATTTCAGACGTTACAAAACAGCATTGACAAATAAAACGCAGCCATGTCAATCAAAACCAACGGATCCAGAAAATGTGTGTTCTGTTTTAGATTCAAATAGCAAAAAATGGATGTGTACTTGCTTAGCTGCATTGTCTTCATTTCGTAGAAGGGATACGGTCACATCTTCTGTTCTACTGCGACAATATAACAAAAAGTGACTAGTTTGGTATATTGTAAATTTATTATGTTATGTTATTTGAAAATTATATTAGAATCTTTTTAAGAAGATCCCAAAGATCTTACAGAGGTTTCACTGGAATTTCAACAGGCTGAACCAATGAAAACAACGGGCAAAATTTATGAAAATCATAAAAAACATGGAAAAGTTGAAAAGTCACTTAAAACAACAGGCTATTTTATAAACAACAACCAGTAAAAATCACATTTTGTCTGCTGCTAATGAAACCCCTGTCTTAAAAAGTATCGATATCATATAAATAACCTAAAAAGATGTGATGGTTCTAAACTATATGGACCTTACACAGTAAAATATTGTTTTATCAAAAGTTTTCTGAAACTAATCTGTCAAGAGCAATATCTAAGAGTCATCAATTTGAAAGTGTGCCTGCGTGTTTATAATTTTTTGTTAGTATTTCGACTTACCCAATTATACTTTTTTGTCGTTTGTTTTTCTTGTGTAGCTTGAATATTAAAAGTATCAAGACAAAGATGATCACGATGGCTATCAGTAAACCAATAATTAACCCAATCTTGTGTCCTGTAGATGTCAAAATATATATTGAATACGATATAATACAATTCGTTACAATTCACTAAACGAATAATTATTCCAATCCTTTGTCCTGTAGAGGTCAAAATATTGGTTACGATATAATGCAATATATTACATTTCACTTATGTTTGACTTCAGCTATTTAATTACAATACAAGTACATTGTAGTTTGTCTGAACTATTAAATGTTTACATAGTTTTCTTAGAAGAGGCTAATAGTTTTTAAATGTGAATGAAAGAGATGCACCTGTAAGGGTCGTTGAACTTGAAGACGTTTTGACTGTAGACGAAATTCTTAAAGCTGGGGCTGTTGCTGTTGGAAAATGTTAAATAAATCAATTAAATAGGTTTAGTTTGGAGTCTGCGAAATTTGCAAAGTTTACGATTGTATAAAGACAAGCAACTAAACAAAGGTATTACTCTTGGACTTGGCATAGTCATTCTTTTCCAATATCCATTCCTAGGGGAAGACAACCATCCCTACTTTAAACTCAATGTATCTCATTGAGTATCTCTGAAACTCATTATCAGTGAAACTTTCCAATAAAAAGCAAAAATAATCCCGTATTGTATTTGCTCGTTTTTGGTTCTTGTAAACGAGTAAAAATTGGTCGGATATAGCACAGTAAGTAACCTGTATATTGATCGTGAACATTTGAGAACACTCACATTGTATATTAAGCCTAGTTGAGCAGTTCTGCTTGATGTCCAGAAAATGAAATGAACAACTGAGTTCCCCCTGGTTATCAATACTACCCACAGTCTTAGTAAATGTAGATGAGTAGACCCCTGGTGTCGTCTCATCTGATGTCGCTGACGTTTGCTTGATACCATTTAGTGTCCAAGTGATAATAGGTTTCTGGTAATCATCTCTGTTTCCCGTATATGTAATTGTCCACGTAAAAGTGACGGTCTCATTTTCTCGCCTCGTTATAATCCGTGGCAAAGGACATGATGTTGGCTCTGAAATAAAAAAAAACATAGATTTGTACAAATAAGTATCCATTTATACTTAAACATAATTTCTCTGCGACCTTTTTATAACACTAAGCCGCAAGGGGGAGGGGGTATATGTAAGCTAATATTAGAATCGAATTTGTCTCATTTGTGAATGTCTCTTATCGTGAAAATTGAAGTTGGTACCGCACAAAGGTCATGTTCTCCGTTTTCTTTATTCATATTTGTATTAGTAATTTTCATTTGTCACATTTTATTTTACTAGTAATATTCTTGAGACAGAAAGCATAGCAAAGATTTGCGTAATTCATAAGTTCAGGCTGCATTTCTCCAACGGTGAGAAACAAAGTAGCGACCAAAAGCCATAGATTGTTTTATTTTTATGTCCCCACCACATAGTGTGGGATCACAATGTCGGCCTAGGCGCGACCGTCCGTCTGTCTGTCTGTCCGTCCGTCTGTCCATCCGAACGTCCGGCAGTTTTCTCCAAAACCGGTACAGATATCGCCTTCAAATTTCCAGGAATAATTTGTGAGTGCATACAAATATTGATGACAAAAAATTAGATCGATACCTACTTCCTGTCTGCTATTTTGAAGTCAAATGTTAAAATCCTTGTCTGCAAACTTAAAAAACGGCTTCACAGTTGCTTTTAAAACGTTCACATCTTGTTCAATTCACTTCATTCTACATCTAATTAGGTTTTGGACCTGTTAGCTCAGTCATGGCAGCCATTTTGAGAAGCCATGTCATGAGAAAAGTTAGCGCGCGATGATACTTTCATATTTGAATGGTGTTTTTGAGTTTTCATACTTTAATTATTTAGTAGCTTTATAAATGATTTCAGATGCACTTTGTTGTAAAGCCTTGACAATTGTTAACAGTAGTTATATGTGATAATTTTGTAAAAAGAAATCAGCAAAAACTCATAATCACTTTTTTATTGTCGGCCATTTTGGATTTCTCCATCCTAAAATCTTGTCTGTAAAGACTTGTCTACGCATTTTCAGGTGGACCGTTTGGTAGATCAATTTCAAATTTTCAGAGATGATTATTGGTATAACAATCCAAATCTGATTAGTTTTTTTGCATTCTGGGTAAATGTCAAGGCAGCCATTTTGGATTTTCCGTCCTAAAATCTTGTCTGTAAAGTATTGTCTACGCGTTTTCAGGTAAACCGTTTGATAGATTAATTTCAAATTTTCAGGAATGATTCTAAGTATGAAAATCTAGAACTGATTCGTTTTTTGCATTCTGGGTAAATATCAAGGCAGCCATTTTGGATTTTCCGTCCTAAAATTTTGTCTGTGAAGTCTTGTTTACGCATTTTCTGTTTAACTGTTTGACGGATCAATTTCAAATTTTCAGGGGTGGTTCTTAGTATGAAAATCTAGAATTGACTAATTTTTGGCATTTCCCATCCTAAAATTGTCTACTCATTTTCAGGATTACCATTTGACGGGATCACCCATTGGTCCATAGGTGGGGACAGGTTGTACACGTTTGTATTCTTGTGAGACAATGCGTACGTAACGTACATACTGCATGAGGTTATTTTAATTTAAAATGAATGATCAATTTACATTATAAAACGTTCAACATTAACTTGTACGTGCTTACCAACTACTAACAAGTGGGGATCTAGATTGCCAATCGACGCCCCAGTAGGTACATCATTGCATCTATACCTTCCAGCATCATCTCTGTCGACATTATTTATTCGTAGACTGTAGGGCTTCAAAGTACTTATGGAGAACTTATTCGGTATTTCTAGGAAGAAAGCTCTTTCATTGAAGGATATTTGTCGACCTCCTCCTTTTTTTACAGAATAACTTATCCATTGTACTTCTGGCTTAGGCGATGATCCATTAAGATCGATATGGCAGGTCAATTCAGCATTTTGTCCAGATAACACCGCAATGTCTTTTGGGCCCTCTTTGACAACTAATGCTACAACAAGTAGCTAGATTTGAACAATTAAAGTGTCCTCACTTTTAAGTTTAGCATTTACTTGTTATTAGTAAATTCGAGCGTTCGCTCTGTAGTATTATCAAAAGTGAAACATAATATAATAGAGATATAAAACATATTGCATGCAGATGGCCGTATTCCATTAAACTTATAAAATGGTCATATTTAAACATGGACACGCTCACATTTGCTCCTGACTAGCCTATTATTCCATTAACAGGGCATTATACTTTGTTCTCTTTAAATAATAAACGAATAATATTATCGAATGAAAAATATATTTTAAAATACTTATATTTCTCCGCAGTAATCGCCTATAATACGAGATAAATATTCTGTACGATTCCCTTTAAATGCAACTTATCAACTGTCAGTATATTCAACTTGCATCATGATAATTGTTAAAGTTATAACATCATAGATAGTTGTACGAAGTGTATTTGGGTAAAGTTTGAACAGATGTGGGCCCCTTTTGACCCCCCTTAGGTCTTCGTGTATTTTTTTCCTAGCTTTCTAGCTTTTTTCAAACTAGGGCTACATTCGTCAATCTCAAATATACAATTTGGTTATCGTAGCATACTAGTACTACCACGGTATGTAAACATGGGAATCCTACTTATTCTTATTGTTGGAATATCATACGGGCTCCGTCGTAGCAAATACATGTGATGCAATAGCCCGAGGCATTTCGACAATGGATAATTGGAGGCAATGAGCCAAGGTTCTTGACCGACACCCCATTTTAATTTCTACTATATTTTAATTGTCGCCAAGCAGTGTTACCAATTTCGTAAACGCCACGTAATAGCCCAAAAGTATGATGGAAGCCGATCTACTATGTAATATATAAAAAAAACTCACATTGTATATTTAACCTAGTTGAACAGTGCCCAAAGGCACCCAGAACACGAAAGGAACAGTTAAGTTCTTTCTTGTTATCGGTGCTACCTACAACCTTAGTAAATGTGGATTTGAGGACCCCTGGTGTTGTCTCATCTGATGTTGCCATTTGGTTTATACCATTTAATGTCCAAGTGATGATGGGTTTCTGGGTATCGTCTCTGTTTCCTGCATATCTAATAACCCACGTAAAAGTCTCGGTCTTATTTTCTCGTACTATTATAGTCGCAGACATAGGGCACAAAGTCGGTTCTGAAATCATATTCAATATTTACACATGTTATACTTATAATTAACGTCATGAAAATGTAGTCTTCTTATGGATTTAAACAGTATTTCTGTCTTACAACTGTTATTCATTTTCAAATTGAACTGTATTTGCAAAACAAGTTAAACTTACCTAGCACTACTAAGTGAGGATCTATACCACCGATTGATTTCCCGGAATATACAGTCCCCTCCATAAGTTTGGCAACCTTTTTTCTCAATTGAACTACGTGTTAAAGCCTCTTTACGTTTGAATTTTTATTTAATTAACCAGCGATGAAATAACTTATAATATTGATGGATACGTAACTTGACTTTATTTCCAATACCTCCAAATTTTCTCAATTTTTTCCCTCAATTTCAATAGGTCGAAAATTGATGATAAATTTGATGAATTTTTGAAAATCGTCATTCCCATGTAATCCAATGGGAAATGGAGGGTTCGGGGCAAATCATAAATCAGGATATCTTTTCAGTAAAAGATTCAGCAAAAAATATTTTCATATAGAAAATTGAATTGTCTAACTTTTTTGAACGCTAAGTGTTTAGTTTATTTGATGAATATTAAAGTTACAGCGCTTCAAAGTCATTTTTGAAAATAATTTTTCGCCCCCTGTGTTATTTCAATGGGAGAGGTTTTTTGAAAAACAAGTTTGACTTTAAAGCCCTACAACTTTGTTGAACCTGAGGAAACATATCAATTTTTTGTTAAATAAAGTTAGCAAATTCAATTACCTGCCTAACTCGTATTTTTTGTAAGGACTCGGATGGACGGATATTCTGTCATATGACTTGCGGAAAACCTACCATTTCCCATTGGTTAACAAGGGAATGTCGATTTTCAAAAATTCATCAAATTCATCATCAATTTTCGACCTACTGTAATTGAGGAAAAAATTGAGAAAATTTGGAGGTATTGGAATTAAAGTCAAATTACGTTTCCATCAATAGTATAAGTATTTTCATCGCAGGTTAAGTAAATAAAAATTCAAAGGTAAAGAGGCTTTAACACGAAGTTCAATGGGGGAAAAAAGGTTGCCAAACTTATGGAGGGGAGTGTACTTCATTACAAATATACCTCCCGGCATCCTCTATACCGACATTCTGTATAAGTAGGTTGTATGGCTTTGGGGTACTTATTGAGAACTTGTTCAATAAAGGCGAAATAACTTGTTTATTAAAGGATATTTGGTGACCTGGTTCTGTTCTTTCGGTATAACTTATCCATTGCACATCTTGTGTATCCGTCAAGTTATCAACGTAGATATGGCAAGTCAACTCGGCATTCTGTCCAGATAAAACAGCAATGTCTTGTGGACCCTCTATGACCGCTAATTCTTGGAAATATGCTACAATATGCAATGGATGTTTTGATTTTACCTAACAATGCAAGGCATACTAATTATAAATTTACTCTTACGATTTAAACTGGGCAACATTGTCTATATACTAAAATTAAAAAAAAACTGAACTAAACCAAAAGCAACGTAATTGTCAACTTAACTTACAGTCGTTTACAATGGCTCTATTGGCACATTTAGATACAGTATGTGCAGGTTGTTTCATAATGACTGTCCCCCCATCAATCACCAATCCCAAATAGCATACCAGCATATGTTATATATCAAACTTGTTCAATTCTTGACGATTAAAATCAATTTTGAATAAGCTCAATAGTCTTTATAACTTGCTACATACCTCTACAAAAGGTAACCAATTTACACTAAGCATAAAATCTGACAGTTACTTTTTTTCCAAAATTAGCCACGTGCCCTGCAAACAGCTATATGATAACCATGCCTCAATACTCTTGAATCTTATAACATTTGATGGATGCTGAGGATATATCCCAATGATATTTGAAAGACAAAAGTATATAATATTTCAAAGAAGTACCAAGAGAGCTCTTGGTGATTCAATGGATTATATAGCAATATGCTCCTCTCTTTAATCCGTTAGAAATGGTAGCCACAAATCACATAAACTGAGGGTATAGTGACTATCAAACATAAGTTTACAAATTATGTTCTCATTGACAAGATATGCTAACACTTGGCATATAAGTCCAGAATTAAATAACCTTTACTCTGGCATAGATTATGGGGCCACGTAATCTATGATTGGCTGTGGATGGGGGACGGACATTATAAAACACCAGGTGTATATAATTGGAACTATGATCAACTGTGACCAAATTAATGAGCCGTTTTTGCTATGTCGAACTATCTGTAGTATGGGTTTCTAGCGCCACCTACATGTCGATGACCCTGGCCCATTGGCGGACTGTGAATCGTAATTTCCATGAATAGATAAAATATTACCTAAATAAACTATCACCCTGATTTAGCAATAATGTGTTGCATACAGTCAATTTTGGGGTCTCATAATACATATATGAATGAAAAGCCCACCTGTAGTATAACACGTAAAAATCGCTATAATCCAGAGGTTTGTATCCATAATTTCGAATACCAAGTTCCATTTGTATTATATGCGCTTCGTTTCGATTTGATACATTTGCTAACTAGATTGTCCATCCAGATATATTTAATGCTTCATTTGAGAAAGTCAATGCATTTTCTCTTCATTGATTTTGTCTTTTGCTATTGATATCTTCCACACGGGCGTTGAAATACGAACAACTAAAAGGACTCCATTGTTAAATAAAGCGTCCACGCAATAGAGTTATCAATTAACACAGTAGGTTATCAACAAGTAATGTTAATATTATTAGTAGTGTTATATTATAGTTTTGTCAATTAAAGGTTATAGATTAAGGCCTACGTTCTTAGTCAACTAGTTTCGTTTACATTATTTCGTTTTAATGTTATAAAGAAAAACATTAGACAAGTAAACACTTAAAAGTCAATAAGTGCTAAATAAAACATACAATCTAGTGCATTGGGAGGAGTATTGGAGGGAGGGGAAACGGTGAATACATTCAATCATTGCGAGTCTATTACTTCACAGTGTTTCTTAAACTTGTTCCATTCAAAGCACAACAAAAATGCCTTTTTGTTGGTACATTGTTTTGTTATACAGATTCCTTATTTTCAGCGGCATTTGGGTTCCCAACTGTAAGAAGGCTTCTCGCAACTGGGGACCAAAACGCTGCTTAAACGAGGGGCTCTTTACAATAAGGCAATGCACCAATAGAACCTGAGTCCCAGGAATGCGTTAAAATGTTTAAAATGTTCTCTATTGTACTGAGTTGTTAATGCTTGGCGTATACATGTATATTATATCTTTACTCTTAGATTACTTACATTAGTCTACATGTATAAGAATAAGACTGATTTTTATAAGTTTAATGGATAAGAATAAGACTGTTTTTTTTTTAATTAATGACAGTATACCCGGGCCTCGGGATAGAACGGCAATTATGTTTTACTTTGAATGGAACAAGTTTGAGGAAAAACTGTGCAGCATGAGACTCGCATCTGGTAGGTCAAAAATATAACTTAATGGTCGAAGTTACTACGCGTGTCTGTGAGAGGCACAAAGCAGAATATTAATATAGCATAGTTCAATATAAAAAACTTAGTTTATATAGTTTATTTCTATAGCTGCCAAATCTTGCAGCTACTTTTGAAACTGATGTCGAATACAAAATCATTCATTTGCTGATTTTTGGAATACTGTTTATCAGTGAAATGCATGTCATCTCAATACAATTATTTTTATCGTGGAATGATGTTTAATACAAGGGGCATGTCTTTTGCCTTCTGGCCGCATGCTTGTCAACTCGCCCTATCCCTTTTTAATTCTGGAGTACCTTTAACGTACAACGATTTTTTCATGGCTTTAGAATTATTAAAAACGCAAATGATTTTTTGTCAATTTCTACCAAAGATGCAACCCAAATCACCATGACTTTCAATATAATGACATAAAAGTTGGAAGATTATAATATTAATATAATATAATATAATATAATATAATATAATACAATAATATTATAATATTATTGATATTTTGTGTGATGCTAATTTGATGAAATAATATATTTCATGTCTGCAAATTTAAAACTCATCTGGTACGGTAGATAGTTTCAATATTTGTCATAATAGCCTATGGTTACAAACTTAAGTTGTCAATATTTATTCAAGAACGTTTTTATCAAATAAGCACTATTTACCCACAAATGTTTCACGAATTTGCCATAGTGGATAGACTAAATGCGTATTCCCGAAAAGCATACGTTTTCAATAACGCAGATGCGAGTAGGTATTTACCAGTTTCACCACCAGGTGGCTCGTTCGGGCCAGACAGCATGGCGGGTATAGCAGAGAGCATCCATTCTCAATAACTAGGCACATTTCCATGAGTGAAATGGACCAAAAGTGAAGTTGGTTTAAATGGTTTCAATTTGATGTTTTATTATGTGAATATATGTCAAGTAGCTAAACCGCAAATATCTTCATCAATCTCAAACCCCTTCATGAAAAATTTGCATGTCGAAGCGCATATGACATTATCTTAAAAATGCAAGTCTCTGTCATTAACGTTATAGTGGGGTGTCATATCAAGAGACCTGTATTTTGAGCCAAAGCAATATTCTCATGTTTACTTTTGCATCTAAAAATAAGGATATATTTTGCCTTGATGATGAATCATATATCAGAAATTTTGAAGATATATAATTGAAACAGACTCACATTGAAGACGGAAATCACAGATGAACTTATTATTCCCTTTCACGAACAAATTCTAAGTGCTACACGTCATTTCAATTTTGAAGAAAATCAGTCTAACTACGTTACATTTAGCTTTCTTTTCTGATGATGGATAGTATGAAGAATAAAATGATAGCTACGTTTTGGTGTTTGACACAGGAGGCATGATTTAATTGAGATTTATATATCATGACACCCTTGGTAACGTACATTATATGATTCAAAAATAGTAACATCGTAGAATCAGTTATATCATTATGAATAATTGCAAAACATCAACTGGTGTTTCTTATATCATGTTTACACTGAAGTTAAAGCAATAATAACACTTGAAACAGACATAGTCCAACGCCTAATCATGTTACGTAAATGATGGTGAAAGTCACTAAATTCTAAAATAGCTACATTAAAGATAACACCAACCTCAACTATGTATGCAACACATATGTAATTAACTAAGTGCAACATGCGCTACATGTTTTAAAGAAAAATGCAGGCTTAAAGTTACTTTTTCTTTCTTTACACATTTTAAATGCTAAAATCCTTTTTAACGTAAATGATACAAAACTCACAATCGCGGAATCAATACTATTTAGTATAAAATATGTGAGTATCGTCAAGAAGAAGTAACGCTAAGTGTCTCCTGATATCATACGATACATAACTACTAAAAACTTAACTTATTCCTCCATTACCTTTACTTTGTCATATATATCCTATCATAAAATATTAGTATTGGAGATTTTCAGACAAATAATGTCACTTTTTAGAGGAAGAAGACACATTTTGCTTCTCCATAAAATAATTTCCCTATCATTAGTATCTACACTTACAAAAAATATTTAAATCAGCGGTTATCATAAACTGCAGTGACATATGCGCCAACGTGTACCCCAATATCTTCACTGTCAGTATGCATGTCTCTGACATTAACACTCTTGAAAGGTGTTGCTTGCTGTATCTTCTTGTATATCCATAAACCTGTGTGCAGTTCGGCTTTGACACGATTTATTTGCGTTGACCAAGGTAGCCTATGTCCCTTTGCCTGTGACAACCGTCGGGTACACAGTCCCGTTTTGTTGTCCTCTTGCAAAATTCATGTTTAATGTGTTACTTGATCATGAAACACTGTCATAGCCGCTTGTGTCACAATGATTATTTCGGCATCACTGGGGTCATTAGCTGCCAATAGTATATTTTCTGATTTTTCTTTTGTTTTTTCTTGCTGTTAGGCTATTTATTTATTCTTAAAACGACCTCTTTATCTTTTCAGATGACATTGCAGCTATTGGGACAATAAAATTATTGAACACGTTCTTTGGCCATGTATTATCCACCTATTTTGTTTTTTCCTCTCATGATAGTATTTTTGATTTTCTGCACTAGTCTCTCCCATCTACAGAGTGTACATGTTGATAAATAAATATACCAGTAAAGTTTTGACGGCCCTCGAAAAAAAATTGGGCTTGGCTGCCGCCTCGCCCAATATTTTTTCTCGAATAGGTATTCTGCCATATCCAGCTCCTGATCATCCAGTATTTGTTTAATATTACATAATATTGTTTTTGTATTTGACTATAAACATGTATGTTGTAAAATATATTATGTATACATGTAATTTCTTATTTGTGAAAAATTAATACAAGCAAATTGAACCACCAACAACGGACGTCAAGTAAGTTTCTGGCGAAAGCCGGAGCATAGATTATTTAGAGGACTGGAAACCAGAATGACCTACCTTTTTATTTCCCGAATCTCGCCTGAAATTAGCTCATCTTGGTGACTGTAACCTGTATATCTGTATTAATAGAGTCTTTTTGTATCGTATCTGCCTCAATTTTAAAGTTTAATTGGTATCTTTAATATGATTTCACTTTTTTGTGGACTGGTAATGTTGTAACTTGAGGATAAGCAACATTGTTATCCTAGTTTCAATTCTAGTTGTATTGAGCAATAGTGCTATCATGATTGTATCTGCGCATGTGCAGAACTCAGATCTACTTCCTGAAGAAATACAAGAAATGTCAATGTAAAAGTTTTTGTGTTATCTATCATTTATTCGATGCATCCCTTTATACAATCCAACAAGTGGCGACGAGGATGGGATAGAAGCATTTTCCTACATGTTAGATACATTATTGTGACTTTATTCTTCTGCATAAGACTGTATTTCGGAAACCAAAACGGCATGGCTTTGATAGGCCAAATTGGAACTTTTGATTCTAAAATTGAAAAGTTTGGACTTTGGAAACAACGGTTTGACCAGTTCTCCGTAGCAAACCAGTTGTCTGATGATATCAAGAAGGCTGCATTCTTGACAACGATGGGGCCCGAGCCTTATGCCGTGTTGGCGGACTTATGTCATCCAGTCAATCCAGATGTGAAGGAATTGGATGCTCTAAGCACCATTCTGAATGATTACTATGAACCAACCCCTCTGATAATAGCTGAACGATTTAAGTTTCATAAAAGGGACCAACTGAAGAGTGAATCGGTGAGTGAATTTTCAGTTGTGTTGAGGAATTTATCCAAGACTTGTGAATTTGGTGAATTCTTACAAGAGGCTCTGAGGGACCGCTTCGTTTGTGGCTTACAAAGTGAGGCAATTCAGCGTAAGTTGCTAACTGAGAGGGGTTTGACTTTTCATACGGCTTATACCACCGCTATTGGCATGGAAATGGCACAGAGGGACATAAAAACATTTCATGTACCCACATCTTCAACAGACATTAACGCAGTCACATCTACAACATGTTTTCGATGTGATGGAACGCATGCAGCCAACACTTGTCGCTTTAAAGACTCCAAATGTCGTTTGTGTTTGAAAACAGGCCACATTGAACAGGCTTGTTTCAAGAAAAAATCTGGTAAGGGTAAACAGAAATCGAAGGCCCGTAAACCATTTCGCAAGACTGTGAAAAACTTGAAAGCTGTAAATGAGGACTTTGACTCTGATAAAGATGATTTGAATCTATATCTACTATATACGCAAAATGCACAGGGTCGCCAGGACGATTCGTTCATCGTGAACCTTCACATTGATGACCAACCAATACAGATGGCTATTGACACTGGTGCTGATGTATCCGTTGTGTCAGAGGTGTTTTACCGGAAACATCTTCCACATCTACCCTTACAACGATGCTCTCGCAAGGTGAAGGCCTATGGTGGTGGTGCCATTCCATTGGTGGGTCAAGTGGAGGCCCCAGTTAAGTATAATCAGGTGTCCACCAAACTCCCTCTATTGGTAGTTAAGGGAAACAATCCTGCTTTGGTTGGGAAAAATTGGCTCAAGTCAATCAAATTGGATTGGGGTTCAATTTTATCTGCTCATCAAGGGGGGTCCTCAAAGGGTAAATGTTCTCCCAGGGACAAAGTAGATTCTGTCAAATCTGAAGGGGTGACAAATGAGAATATAAAACTCAAGTCAGTTCTCTCTAGGCATGAAGCTGTATTTACAAAGGGTGGTACAATTAAGAACTACACTGCACATTTGCGCGTCAAAGAAAATGCTACTCCAATATTTCATAAACCGCGCAAGTTAGCCTATGCTATGAGATCGGTAGTTGAAAAATAACTCGATAGATTAACTGAACAAGGTGTGCTCAAACTGGTTGACTATTCGGAATGGGGTTCTCCCCTAGTTAATATTCAAAAGACCGATGGTAGTATTCGCATGTGTGGAGATTACAAGGTCAGTATTAACCAAGCTCTACATGAAGAGCAATACCCCCTTCCAACTGCCCAAGATTTGTTCACAACTTTATCAGGTGGCAAAGTGTATAGCAAAATTGACCTCGCTCAAGCATATTTGCAATTACAGTTAGATGAAGAGTCAAAACACTATTTGACGCTAAGTACTCACAAGGGTCTTTTTGAACCGCAGCGTTTACAGTTTGGGGTTTCAGCAGCGCCATCTATTTTTCAGAGAGTAATGGAATCAATGTTACGCGGAATACCCGGCGTATGCGTTTTTCTCGATGACATTTGCATTGCGTCAGGCTCTGTTTCCGTTCACTTGAAAACCTTAGAAAAGGTGCTCTCAGTACTTGAAAAACATGGTGTTCGTGCAAAACTGAGTAAATGTGAATTCCTCAAATCTTCTGTCACATACTTAGGGCATATTGTAGATAGTGACGGAATCAGACCCACAGAAGATAAACTCAAGGCAATTCGCGACTGTCCGCGTCCTAAAAATCTCAAAGATTTACAAGCGTTTTTGGGTCTAGTCCAATTTTACGCGAAGTTCATGACAAAAGAAAATGTTGACTTGTCTACAGTCTTACATCCACTTCACCTCCTTCTCCGGAAAGATGCCGAGTTCAAGTGGACCGTTCAATGTCAGAGCGCTTTCGACAAGTGTAAGAACTTATGTACATCGGACAGTGTGTTAATTCATTACGACTCCTCAAAGGAAGTGTACTTATCGTGCGACGCATCTTCGGTGGGAATAGGAAGTATTATCTCACATAAAGTCGACGATGAAGAACGAATAATTAGCACATGTTCGCGAAAATTAACCTCAAGTGAAGTGAACTATAGTCAAATTGAAAAAGAGGCTCTATCAATTGTTCATGCCGTCAGGAAGTTCCATCAGTACTTATATGGCCGAGAATTCACAATCATCACGGATCATAAACCTTTGACTAAAATATTTGGTCCCAAAACGGGCATTCCCGCGATGGTTTCCGCTCGATTACAGCGTTGGGCACTTTTGTTGTCTGCCTATAAGTACAAAGTGATATTCCGCAGTTCTGGTGACCATGGCAATGCAGATTGCCTATCGCGCCTTCCATTAGAAATTCCAGCTAAAGAGTCGACAGAAAATGCAATTTTCAAAATCTCGGAAATTGAATATATTCCTGTCAAAGCTCGGGATATTGCGGAACAAACTAAGAAAGATACTACATTGAATCAAGTGTATCAGTATACGCTCAGTGGTTGGCCGAACTTTTGCCCAGATGAAAACCGAGTTTCGCACCAGTGGTAATTCCACCTGTGAAAAGCTCCGTTCCAGTGCCAAAAGCACAACCAAGCTCCTTCCCAGGTGTTCCGGGAGGTCTCGGGTTATCAAATCCTAAAAAGGGATCCATTTCTGGACACGTAACTTCCCCACCAGTGGATGGCAGCCCATCATCTCCAGTGCCTGAACCTGCAAATGTGAGACGTTCAACAAGAGTCAGAAAACCCCCCGACCGATTAACCATGTAGATGCTATTATATGGTAGATCAGTGTGTTGATCACCAAATTACACCTGCAGTGATATATTATAGGTAGATCAGTGTGTTGATCACATAAGTACCCCACATATGTCATAGATTGATCAGTGTGTTGATCATCTATTTACTTGAGGAAACAATTTGTAATGTACATACTGGAGAAAGGAATGAACTGATTTTTCTACTTTCATCAGACTGCATACATACTGGTGAAAAACAATGTGAATAAACTGGAAAGAAAGTGTATTTTGTTTCCAAGACTGTATACACTATACATGTCATTCTATTATAAACTAGAGGAACATTCTCTATAAAGATCAAACATTGGTCACTGATTTGAACATTTAATAATGTAAGGGAAACCCTGACCTAATGACATTTGTTAGCACTAAGCTATATTTACGTTTTACATTATGTGGAAATCAGATTACTGATTTTATTCTAAAGACATTGAGAAACACTCATGTTTTCATTTAAACTTTAACTGAGATGTAAAACTAAGTGAAGGGGAATGTTGTAACTTGAGGATAAGCAACATTGTTATCCTAGTTTCAATTCTAGTTGTATTGAGCAATAGTGCTATCATGATTGTATCTGCGCATGTGCAGAACTCAGATCTACTTCCTGAAGAAATACAAGAAATGTCAATATAAAAGTTTTTGTGTTATCTATCATTTATTCGATGCATCCCTTTATACAATCCAACAGGTACGATTAAGCCAAGCAAATGGCAGCTGATCTGTTCAAAGTACTTTTAGTACTAATTAAAATGACAATAATTTTGGAAACAAAATTATACTAAATAGATTACTAAGCATCCAAGGTAAGTAAAACTAGATGAACAACTGAGTCAATAGTGAGAAATAGGTCAAAATGAACTGCCAGAATTGAAATAGACTGCCATCTTGTTTCCAGTCCTCTAAATAATCTATGCTCCAGCTTTCGCCAGAAACGTACTTGACGTCCGTGCCACCAACCACATTGTTACATGTTGTTCTTTCTAATTGGGTAACGTCATAGTATCACATGACAGCAACGTGACATAAATCAAGATTATGTCTACTCGCATCTAGTCTATTGGTTAAACTTTTTATCTACAATTAACACAAGACTGCTATAATCGCATTGATATAAAACAGGTTGTGCCTTCAGCTTTAAAAGTATACGCATGGACCTATTGCATGATCCACGGACCTCATTGATAAGACAAGAAGTTGGAAATACAATATATCAATGATGACATTTCATCTGTCTTATTATCAAGTATATTTTATTCATTTATTAATCGCACAACCAGTTATAATGGGTAATTACAAAGGGTATACATTGATGAATCTTAACTCTCAAATATTATTGTAGCAAATACATTCAAGCATTGAATAGAACTATAAGCATTATGATACGTAAATTTGTTGCATATCATTTAGTAGTAAGGGTCGTTAACTGTCTTCAACATAACAACAACAAGTAAAAGTAGCATAACATGTCTCGGCAAAATTGTCATAATATAAACGAAAACTAGACAACAGCAACACCAAATTGTAGCAAATCCCATCGAACAGCCATGGCTTGCATATTTAAAAACAAAGTATATAGCAACAATGGCAAAATGGCCACCTTCTACCAGAAGTGTCATTAGACAGTGTGCCATGCTTATAGTATTCACATACCAAATATGAACAAAATCGCTCCATACTTTTCGAGTTATAGTAAAATACGTTAAAATGGTGGCCATTTTTCAAAATAGCCGCCTTCTACTAAAAGTGTCTTTAGACAGTGTGCAATGCTTATAGTATTCACAAACCAAATATGAACAAAATCGCTCCCCTACTTTTCGGGTTATAGTAAAATAAGTTAAAATGGCGACCATTTTTCAAAATCCCTCCACTACTTTTCGAGTTACAGCAAAAATCGTAAATAACGAGTAAAGGCCGTCATTTTTCACGATGGCTGCCATTTGCTTCTTTAATATCTACATTTCTAGCTTTATTAATGTCCTATATAACTTTTCACATTTAAAACATATTGCTTTTACAGTTTTACATATTGCACCTAAATAACTGTAAAATCGGCACTAAAATGGCCGCCATTTTTAAATGAGCGGCCATTTTGAAAATTGGCTTTCGAGCAGAACCTCTACCCCATAGGGTATATGTGTACAAAATATGAACAAAATCGGGCCAACGGTATTTGAGTTATTGTCCGGAAGGACGGACGGATGGACGGACTGTATCACGCCTTCTATAAACTGTGAACAAAGTCAATGCTTCAGCTGGGTTATATTCGAGATCAATAACCCGGCTCTGTACTAAGTGTTTCATTCAGTGCACTCATTGGTCAGTGAAAGAACTTAGCAAAATGCAGTGATTACTCCGTTATATGGATATCCGCCGTGATTTTTTTGTTTCTGGGCAATATAGAATTCATTTCAATAATTATCAAATATGTAGTAGATATGCGTGAAACCAATAAAATAGGCCGAAATGTCAATAAAAAACTTAGGTCGGGGTCAGGAGGTAAGTAAACGAATTGGAACAGCCAAACGCCTAACCGGAAGTAGAAATGAAAAAAGGGAAATGAACATCGAAATCGACGATTTTGCAATATTCTTGTGAGTTTCATGTTCGAATCGTAATATATACCTCAAAGCAGGGCTACTAGTTTCGAATACAACTCTTAGGTCTAGGCACAAAAGCTTTCGAACCCCTCACTCCCTTCGGTCGCTTGGGGTACAGAAAACGTTTGTGCCTAGACATGCGGGGTGTATTCGAAACAAGTAGCCATGCTCTTTGGTCTATATTTCTAAAATAAATCAAAAAGGATATACTGATCTGCCCTTTTATATACGAAGATATATTTTGTGTGTCTTCCCTTGATCTGCTCATGCAGTTGCTTATTGGAGAGAACATAACAATCGTGTTGGTGCAATTAATTTATTTTCATATAAATGATAATTCATATCAATTAGCAAGTAGGGTACGTAGTCATATCTGACCTTTTTTGTCCGTATGATATCTGACTTCTTCTTTTGCACATTCAAGCTAGACTTTGGGAGCAACTCTATAAGAAGTTTCAGATGACAAGATCAATTATGTGGACTTCATGATGAACTTTTATGATGGTTACAATATGTATTTTAAATGCCGTCCAGTCCATTGCAGGCAGACTTCTGGATTCTACTGCTAAGTTATTTAATACGATAAACATAAACCCGCAAGATTTTTTTATCTCTGGGGGTACTTGAAGGATCATTTGTATGTAACAAACCCCCAAACAATAGAACATCTGAAGATAGAGAGCACAAGAAAGATTAGGGCCATTTTTGTGGGGCAATGTGTTAGGATTTCACTCAGAGAATTCAGGTGTGCCTGACATTAAGAGAAAATCGTATAACGCTCATGCAAGTGTATTCAGTTAAGCTTGTCATCTGAAACTTCTTGTGGAGTTGCCCAATGAAGTTAAGTTTTACTTTGCAAAAAAGAAAGCCAGGAATCATATAGACGAAAATGAAAAAGTTATTTAACATTATGTGGGTTTCACACTTTTTGTGTCACCCTGAAGATAATAATGTTAATTAAATGTCCAGTAGTATGCTAGCATAGTAAAAAGAACAAAAAATATTTACAATAGTCACAGCATGGTGTTTTTTATGTGTCACCATAGAATATTCTATTAACTAATATTGTTAAAATATGTTCCCATATTGCTATAGAATATTCTACGAAATATAAGTATTTACAATAGTCACGGTGTGGTGTTTTTTATGTGTCACCATAGAATATTCTATTAACTAATATTGTTAATATATGTTCCCATATTGCTATAGAATATTCTACGAAATACAATAATAATAATAATTGTATAAGTATTTACAATAGTCACGGCATGGTGTTTTTTATGTGTCACCATAGACTATTCTATTAACTAATATTGTAAAATATGTTCCCATTTTGCCATAGAATATTCTACGAAATATAAGTATTTACAATAGTCACGACATGGTGTTTTTTATGTGTCACCATAGAATATTCTATTAACTAATAATGTTAAAATATGTTCCCATATTGCTAAATAATATTCTACGAAATATTACAATAGTCACGGCATGGTGTTTTTATGTGTCACCATAGGATATTCTATTAACTAATATTGTAAAAATATGTTCCCATATTGCCATTGAATATTCTACGAAATATAAGTATTTACAATAGTAACGGCATGGTGTTTTTTTATGTGTCACTATAGAAAATTTTATTAACTAATATTGTTAAAATATATTCCCATATTGCTATAAAATATTCTACGAAATACAAGAATTTACAATAGTCACGGCATGGTGTTTTTATGTGTCACCATATAATATTCTATCAACTAATATTGTTGAAATATGTTCCCATATTGCGATAGAATATTCTACGAAATATAAGTATTTACAATATTCACGGCATGGTGTTTTTTATGTGTCACCATAGAATATTCTATCAACTAATATTGTTAAAATATGTTCCCATATTGCTATAGAATATTCTACGAAATATAAGTATTTACAATAGTCACGACATGTTGTTTTTTATGTGTCACCATAGAACATTCTATGAACTTATATTGTTAAAATATGTTCCCATATTGCTATAGAATATTCTACGAAATATAAGCATTTACAATAGTCACGGCATGGTGTTTTTTATGTGTCACTATAGAATATTCTACTAACTAATATTGTTAAAATATATTCCCATATTTATATAGAATATTCTACGAAATATAAGTATTTACAGTAGTCACAGCATGGTGTTTTTTGTGTGCCACCATAGAATATTCTATCAACTAATATTGTTAAAATATGCCCCCATATTGCTATAGAATATTTTACGAAATATAAGTATTTATAATAGTCACGGCATGGTGTTTTTATGTGTCACCATAGAATATTCTATTAACTAATATTGTTAAAATATGTTCCCATATTGCTATAGAATATTCTACGAAATATTACAATAGTCAGGGCATGGTGTTTTTTCTGTGCCACCATAGAATAGTCTATCAACTAATATTGTTAAAATAATATGTTCCAATATTGCTATAGAATATTCTACGAAATATAAGTATTTATAATAGTCACGGCATGGTGTTTTTATTTGTCACCATAGAATATTCTATTAACTAATATTGTTAAAATATGTTCCCATATTGCTATAGAATATTCTACGAAATATTACAATAGTCACGGCATGGTGTTTTTTGTGTGCCACCATAGAATATTCTATCAACTAATATTGTTAAAATATGTTCCCATATTGCTATAGAATATTCTAAGAAATATTACAATAGTCACGACATGGTGTTTTTTGTGTGTCACAATAGAATATTCTATTAACTAGTATTGTTAAAATATGTTCCCATATTGCTATAGAATATTCTACGAAATATTACAATAGTCACGGCATGGTGTTTTTTGTGTGTCACCATAGAATATTTTATAAACTAATATTGTTAAAATATGTTCATTCTATGAACTTATATTGTTAAAATATTTTCCCATATTGCGATAGAATATTCTACGAAATATAAGTATTTACAATATTCACGGCATGGTGTTTTTTATGTGTCACCATAGAATATTCTATCAACAAATATTGTTAAAATATGTTCCCATATTGCTATAGAATATTCTACGAAATATAAGTATTTACAATAGTCACGACATGTTGTTTTTTATGTGTCACCATATAACATTCTATGAACTTATATTGTTAAAATATGTTCCCATATTGCTATAGAATATTCTACGAAATATAAGCATTTACAATAGTCACGGCATGGTGTTTTTTATGTGACACTATAGAATATTCTATTAACTAATATTGTTAAAATATGTTCCCATATTGCTATAGAATATTCTACGAAATATTACAATAGTCACGGCATGGTGTTTTTTCTGTGCCACCATAGAATAGTCTATCAACTAATATTGTTAAAATAATATGTTCCCATATTGCTATAGAATATTCTACGAAATATAAGTATTTATAATAGTCACGGCATGGTGTTTTTATGTGTCACCATAGAATATTCTATTAACTAATATTGTTAAAATATGTTCCCATATTGCTATAGAATATTTTACGAAATATAAGTATTTATAATAGTCACGGCATGGTATTTTTATGTGTCACCATAGAATATTCTATTAACTAATATTGTTAAAATATGTTCCCATATTGCTATAGAATATTCTACGAAATATTACAATAGTCACGGCATGGTGTTTTTTCTGTGCCACCATAGAATAGTCTATCAACTAATATTGTTAATATAATATGTTCCCATATTGCTATAGAATATTCTACGAAATATAAGTATTTATAATAGTCACGGCATGGTGTTTTTATGTGTCACCATAGAATATTCTATTAACTAATATTGTTAAAATATGTTCCCATATTGCTATAGAATATTCTACGAAATATTACAATAGTCACGGCATGGTGTTTTTTGTGTGCCACCATAGAATATTCTATCAACTAATATTGTTAAAATATGTTCCCATATTGCTATAGAATATTCTAAGAAATATTACAATAGTCACGACATGGTGTTTTTTGTGTGTCACAATAGAATATTCTATTAACTAGTATTGTTAAAATATGTTCCCATATTGCTATAGAATATTCTACGAAATATTACAATAGTCACGGCATGGTGTTTTTTGTGTGTCACCATAGAATATTTTATCAACTAATATTGTTAAAATATGTTCCCATATTGCTATAAAATAGTCTACGAAATATAAGTATTTACAATAGTCACGGCATGGTGTTGTCTGTGTGCCACCATAGAATATTCTATGAACTTGTTAAAATTGACTATTCTATCAAACATGCCCTATATTCAGCATTTTAAAGTACATACAATGAATAAACCAATGTGAAATAAATGTACATATGAGGTATTGAAGAGCTATAAACTAATTTTGTGCTATACAGTTTATATTTTTATATGACTAAATAAAATGATTAGGGTAAAAATACAGGAATAAACGGATTTTCCCTTTTTAAATAGTTTGGACTTCATAGTATAATAATGATTAAATACAAATAATAGTATAATATATAATCACTACAAATACAAGTAGGTGACAAGCAGCATGCTGCACTGAAATCAAACAAAACTTTGCGCTATATCTAGCAAAGACCGCGTGGTCAGAAAACCACGTGACCAACCCGTTATCCCTTTAATATATAATGATTTTATTGAGGCAACGATATGGTCGCCCGACAAAACATTTTATGTTGCAGAAAAACATATCTCTGAAGTTAAACAGGCGAGAGGCCATATACGAGGGGTGATCAATAAGTAATGGACGCTTTTTTACACATATACTTTTTATAAACCAATCCCTTTGATTTTCCTACCAGTGATACGTCATTCAATTATCTATCAATTCTGAAGATTTGAAGACAAAATATGTAATACATGTTGATATATCCTTATTTCCATGAAGGAGGTACAGGTACCCCGGGACCGACATTTACGTCACATATTCAGTTTTTAGCCAGTTTGGCAAATTTCAGTTAGATTTGACCTTTTTATATGCAACAAGTGTTGTGTTGTTTGAATTTTTTTGCTGACTGGTAACACATAACCAGAAAGTATTGTGACGTCAGAGTTTTGTATGGAAGGGGTTTGCAGATCAGTTTGAGAAAGCATTGTGGAAGAAAGGGGTGGTGAGAGAAGGGAACACCCTACTCCACATGGACAATGCACCTGTCCACATATCTCAAAATGTTCAGAAAACAATATCCCTGGACCTCAAAATTGAGCCATTGGCCAATGCACCATATTGTCCAGATCTGCTCACATGTGACTTATTTTTTCTATACTTCTTATTTCTATAGAGAAAGGACGCAGGTTTATTGACATTGGTGAAATAAAAGAACCTGTGCAACTGCATCTTGCTACCATGTCAGAGAATGGATTCAGCTTTGCCTCACAATCTTGAGTTACGAGGATGAGGAATTGTGTACATGTAGCACTTGATGGAACCTATGTGGAACGAATGTGGCATGAAAACCACATAGTGATGATAAAATATTCAAAATCAACTATAGCTTAACAAAATGGGGAAATTCATGACCATAATGGTTTATTTTGTTCAGTCTGTATTCAACTGCATTGCATGTTATACAAGCTAAAATAGCTTCAGAATGTTTTACGTCATGTCGGTCCCGGGGTACTTGCACATCCTTCACAGAATTAAAGATATATCAAAATATTTTACATGTTTTGTTTTCAAATCTTCAGAGTTGATAGATAATTGAATGATGTGTCACCGATAAGAAAATCGAAGGGATTGGTCCATAAAAAGCATCTGTGTAAAAAAGCGTCCATTACTTATTGATCACCCCTCGTATCAATCACAGTAAGATGATATGAGATCTAAAAAGAATTTGAGCAATAATACACGACATTATGTAATCAATGAACTATGTGTATACCATGCGTTTTAGACATCTCCCAGACGATATCAGTTCACATTATTTCAGCTGTTTACAACTATACAGCTCATGACGCAGAAAGAGAGTTCACTTTATAACATTAAACATGTTAGTAAGATACAATACCTAAAGAATGGTTGAGCCAAATAAGAAATACGACGATTTCCGGCAGGTTATCTCCTAATAACGATTCAATGTACCGGGTGGAACTTTGCTTGACTTGTCTTACCAATTGTTCAACCTATATAATTGAATTTCATTAACTTGTTATTGGATTTTATTACCTAGTTTGTATAGTTCAATGACAATTAGTATTATAACAAAGTGTCTAAATCTTTAAAAAAGAAACCCGAATATCCAAAACTACAATCAATTACTACGAAATTGATATATAATATTAAAACATCTCCCTCATGGCATACCATTGAGGAACCATCATCACAATTCATACACATAGTAGCCGAGACAACACAAGTCCCAAGTCTGTATATTTACTCTCATTTCTTCACTTTTGAGTTAAGTCACCACATGTTTCGGCTACTATAATGTAATAACGGGTATAATACATTCATAGCGGACAATGCATGTTGAAGAATAAGTAAAAGAGCTCTTGACATCAAAAATATAAGATATCGGTAGTTTATATTTATGTTCATAAGGCAAAAGGCCTCTAAAATGTATGTATAGAGCAATCAATGATCAACTGTAGAAGGATTGATTCATTCAGTGCATCCAATGCTAAAAATACAGTTTGAATAAGTATACTTTTGCTATAATGTTATAACGGATGCTGTTTATATACAGATCCTGTCGATCGTGTCGTTCGTATGTGATATGTGTTTGTAATTTATCCAACGAATGGAACCATTCCCATTCTAGAACCAGCTCAAAACCTGTAGAAATAAAACTAACCATTTTGAATCATGGACATGAAATGGAAGAAAGCAGACTTATAGATCTACTTAAAAATTGTACTCCTTAAACATTTATGTATAGCTTATACTTCATAATTGTAAGAAATTAATAAAAATTAAATAGATAATAGATAATAAAAAAACTTACTTGTATAAACGTTAAGATAAAAATGATCATCGGCATCGATGAGGGCCTTCCTGCTTTACTTCCTATGGCCATTTGTGCTGAATAAGAAAAAACATTTGGTTTTATAATGATTTGATTGACCTATAAAAAATAGTTACACTTTTCCAAAAATCCATTGTGAAATATGTTATTTTGAAAATATAGATTACCTGGATCGTCAGCTGGATCGTCAATTCTTATTTCACTGCATTTCCTATAGCCATTCAAGCTATTCTTTGCACAACATCTGTATACCCCAGCATCTTTTATTTGTTTTGTGTCACCCTTTTCTTCAGGACTGAAACTTTCTCCACTCCTTCCTTTGAATTGCCATGTATACGATGGTTCAGGGTTTCCTTCTGATATTCCTCTCAGTATGGCGACATCTCCTCCTTTTAAGTTGTGATCTGTATCGATTTCTTCTCCATCAATATAGAGTGTAGGTTTCCGGGCGGGATCTAAAAGAAAACAGCAACGTACACTTTACAGACGAGTAACAACAACGGGAAGGAAGGTGAAAATGAGAATGTAGCAGATGTAACACTCTTTGGTTTTTGACAAAATAAATACGCATAGAATGCCAGTTTATTAATGCGATGTTATAATAGAAACAGAATATAATTGTGCTTGATTGATTAAACTATATAGGATTTACATTTTATGTTAAGCCGAGTTGAACAACGCTCTTGGATATTCAATACACCAAAAGAACAGCTGAGTTCTTTCTGATCATCCAAACTAGATGCCGCCATTGTGATTGTAGATTTGAAGATTCCTTCTTTTGTCTCGTCCGCCTTTGCAGACTGCTGGAAACCATTTAGTGTCCATTTAATAGTAGGTTTCTGTGAATAATCTTTGTTACCGGCATATCTAACATACATCGTGTATGTTATGATCTCGTGTTCTTTGATTGTAGTTATTTCCTGCAGTAGACATGGTCCAGGCTCTGAAGATATTGTACGCAGTTTAGTTTTATTAGAGTATTGGTATACGTATTACGTATATGTATCAGATATACAGAGCGAATAAATCAGTCCACGCATACTATTTAACAATATGTTACAACCTCCTCGCATAGAGAACAGACAACAACAACAGAAAGGTTTATTCAAATGAGCATGATTCCCAAATCGAAGATTATTTGAATATGTACTTATACTGAGGTTAATGCATGAGCGTCTTTTACAAATAATATTCCCCGGAGCCCTAAAATTTAACATTCAATTTATAGAATTCCCTAAAAAAGAATGTATAACATCAAATAAATACCCGGAAATGAGATAAACTGCGGTCAATAACCTAAAGGTAATACTGGGAGAACTTACGAGTCTTGTGTCGGTTTGGATCAATCAGGAAGTGAGGAATAAGGCAATGATACGATATTTTATGATTTTTTTAATTTTTATTTCCTGACATTAAATAATACAATAATTCTTAATCTTACCAAGTACTATTAACTGAGGATCAAATCCACCTATTGGTTTACCCGTCCGTACATTATTGCACGTGTACTTCCCAGCATCATCAAGATCAACATTTTGTATAAGTAAGTTATACGGCTTAGCAGTACTTATAGAAAACTTGTTAGGTATATCCCGCACAGTGATTCTATCATTATACGACAATGGCTTCCCCCATCCTGTTCTGTTAGAGTTAGCTACCCATTGTACAATATGATTAGGCTTCGATTTAGCACGGTGAATATGGCACGTCAACTCTGCACTTTGACCTGCAAGTACAGCTCGGTCCTTAGGAGGTGTTTCGACCACTATATATCGATTCTCAGCTGTAAAATAAAGTTAAATAATGTGTGTTAATGCATTGTGTCATTATGACGTGGTTTAAGTTGTCTTTTGTACCATTTCTTGCAGTAATCGATTGTGATCAGATGCGTTTGGAAAGATCATCCAAAGTTATGTTAACTCACCAACTTTCAAGTATTTTTGATGAAAATCATCTATATTTTTATCATGTTCTTTATAGTTACTGTGCCCTCCTCAAAGCAGCTTTCATTGCGTCAAAATGAGAAGGATATGACCTCAGAAATACGTCAAAAAGTTGATATTTTCGCATTCAACTTGAAACAAAAAGGTTTTCACCATTTTTCTATGCACCTCTACTTTGGAAGACCTTTCCAATGATATATCACACTTGGTACCATATAACTTGGTCTTGGCTGTAGAGGGGGGATAGGACTTATTTGACACCCTGTATAGTATCTTTTTTACAAGCATATATGCAATTTCAGGATCATAAGCAACGTCATTCCTGGGATAGATTGACTTGAGATTTGAACAAATGGGCCCATGGTCCATATGACGTCATTAAATTGAATTGATTGTGTGAATGCCTTGGTAGGCTGAAATGGTTCGGTCAATCTTTGTTCTTTCAGCTGTTAGTCAGGTTCTGTTATAACTAATTTAAATTCAATCTAAATATAAAGTGCTAAATATTTAGTCTTCTATTTTAGTAATGCATTATTTTTGTAGCATTATGCCTAGTCCATAAGTAAATGTCTGAACCACCCCACCTTGAGCCTTTTCATAACTACAGCTACCCTCGGCACATTCTACCTTCCCTTCTAATTCCACCCATTGCAGTCATTATATGCAATATACAGGGTGTCAAATAAGTCCCGTCCCCCCCCCCCTCTACAACCTAAACCAAGATATATGGTACCAAGTGTGATATATCATCAGAAAGGTCTTCCAAAGTTACGTTGATTGGCATATATCTGACATATGTCAATCGGTCTCACAAATTTTTACATTGTATCAATTGAGGTGACCATGAGCCTGAAACATGGCAATTTAGCGTTTTTGGAAGGATTTTAAGAATCGGGTATAAGAAAAGGCAAAGGACCTAAAGATGACTACATTTGTATATGACAATGAATTTAACCAATTTCTGGATAGGGTTAGATGTGTAGAAAATGGAGGTGCTTGGAAAAATGGTGACAGATTTTTTGTGACAAGTGGAATGCGAAAAAATCAACTTTTTGACGTATTTCTGAGGTCATATCCTTCTCATTTTGACGCAATAAAAGCTGCTTAAGGAGGGTACACTTACTATGAAGGACATCATTTAAATATTGGTGAATTTCTTCCAAAATACTTGAGAGTTGGCGAGTTAACATAACTTTGGAGGATCGTTCCAATGGTATATCACACTAGGTACCATCTATTAAGGTTTTTGCAGTAGCAGGGGGGACGGGACTTATTTGACACCCTGTATATTAATGCATGGATATATATAACTTGAAGACTATATTTACAGTCATTCTTTCGCATGATTAAAGAAAATAAGATGGGAAATATTGATATAAGATTCACTTTTGCCATGAAAACAAAGCTAGATATTGTTTAAACTTAAGTTGACAATTTATGTAAGTAAAGTTTTGATTAGTAAATATATATTGTTCTTTATATATTTACTAGTTTTGTTTTTACAAAATGATATGGACCATTACTGTACGTCATCGCCTTGGTTACTATAGCAACCATATAATGTTAAGTAGAAGACGTATATACATGAAACGTTGATAGTATAAGGGAATAAGATGGGGGAACATACCTACCAAGTATGAACAAGATTGGGATATTAATGTCATAATTTGATATATTTGTGCAAAGCTTTTTGAACAACCCTTGTCAACAGACACATTTCAAATATTTTCTTTGTTTTTTAATTTCTATCTGGATATCATCATATGGATTGTTTTGAAATTTCAAAATGGCTTAGAATCTGAAACGGGAGTTGAATTTCAATTCTTATTTTCCTTACTTTTCTAAAAAATCTTAAACGTTTGTCCATTGACCATTATAAAAGTCGACCCCATTTCTCACCAACTGGATACTATACCTACGTTGACCATATATTACTATTGAATAGATACTTTAGTTGTTGAGAAAACGTGACCAGTAAAATAAGAACGACAAATCAAAGAAATAAAATATATAGAAAAGAGGCAAAAACAATAGCATCCAGATATTCATCTGGAATCGAATTATGTTCTAAAGCTAAAGTTCTAATGAAACCATTTTGCTCAATTTAGGTTATATCTATGCTACTTGACTTTATAAAGTCCATTCTTAACGATGGTAATTCACAAGAACATCAAATGTTCATTTAACCATGTAATCGGGATATAAAGTCAGCACGCATCTGCTTTCGCGGCAAAACTGAATTAAATTTTAGAGCAGCTTTCTCAGGTCACGTTGTGCGTTGTCAAATATCAACCCAAGAGCTCACCAGTTGACCGCTAAGTACGATTGACAATTGAAATAAAATCCTGGTCACAAAATGGGTAATTCATTTTCATTCAGATTCTGTCAACTGTTGCACAATTTGAGATTGTTTTATCAATTTCAAAGGGTACCACTTGCAGCTGAGTGAGTGTTCAAATTAGTGGTGTCAATTAACCGCTTGAGCATTAACCGGTTAACCGGCCGGGGGTTTTTACCGGTTAAAGTCGGTTAACCGGCGGGAAATTTGAACTTATAATTTCAAATGAAATCTTTCATCTTCGATCTTGAAAGTTGAAAAAATTGGAAAAATGATATATCGGCGTTTATTTTTTTACGTTCGTCAAGCTTTACGCTATTCTATGTAAGTAAGCGCGGGAAAGCAATGTGGCAGGGATTAAAGTTGCTGATTGGATGTTTGTAAGGAATTATCGGACCTATCACATGTATGAGTAGCTCACATGAAACTGACGCTTGAAAAACAAACAGATTAAAATGCAAAGTAAGCGCGGGAAAGCAATGTGGCAGGGATTAAAGTTGCTGCTTGGATGTTTGTAAGGAGTTATGGGACTTATGACATGTATGAGTAGCTTACGTGAAACTGACACCATAAAACCAAACGGATTAGCATGCAAAATAAGCGCGGGAAATAACAGAATAATACACGGTCAACAAACCGCCCATAAAAACTCAGACCGGTCAAGGCATTATCGGCGGTTAACCGGTAAACCGGTTAATACTTGACACCTCTAGTTCAAATAGGATAGTTTCTAAATAGCAGAAAAAGCAATGGAATCTAGTGCTGCCATCTTTTATCCAGCTTTTAATTTGGGCTAGAGTTCCATTCCCTTAAATGCTAAAATCTTGGAAAAGTGGCTTAATTTCATTTTTGAAATCAAATGAAGCCTTCTTATATTTGAAATGCATGCGAGTTAAACCTTTGTATATGTGTTACTTTGGTTCAGCCTCCGTAGTACTTTGCGGCAACTCTTAAAAGTGGCGCCAAAATAACTTATTGGTCACGGTAGGCAAAACTGTCACGGTCACATGGCTTCAAAAAGTCCGCGAAAATAGCAATTTAGTGGTTGGCAGTTCTATCTTAATGATAGTGGAATATTGACTGCTATGTTATTTAAATAACAAAAGAGCTGGAATTGGTCGAGTCGACGGGACGCAACTCATATCTATTCAAAGTTACTATAGTTGAGGTTATGACAACTTCCATAAACCACATGAAGATCCAGGGTAACCGGACACCTCATCCCCTAAACAACTCATCCCTGGACAACTCATCCCCTAGACAACTTATCCCCTAGACAACTCATCCCCTGGACAACTCATCCCCTAGGCAACTCATCCCCTGGACAACTTATCCCCTAGACAACTCATCCCCTGGACAATTCATTCCCTGGACAACTCATCCTTTGGCATGTTTGAGTAATTAATGTAATATTATTAATTCATATATTATTCAAATGATTTTTAAATGTATTGGTTAATTATTAAGTTTCAAAATCATATATTACATGAACACTGGTACTCCACTTGATTATGTTGTAAACAGATTGTTTCGGTAACAAAATGTCAGAGCCTCGGGTACGATTTTTGTATTTTCCTTATTTCTCCAGTAGTAGGCAGAATATCATATGTCTAAGAAAATGTACACGTGTACGTGCGAACAAATAGTTCAGAAGACAACAAGATCCTCGATTTAATACCCCACTTTTGTTACGTAAACAGAACTTCAAAAATTGGTTAAGATCTGCACTTCTCTTTCCATTTACATAACAATAGTGAGGTATTAAAGCTACGATTATGTTGTATTCTGAGTACAAGTGAACAAAGACTTTCTTGAGGGGAAATTCCGGGGGGAAATCTGGAACCATGGTACTAATAAACTGGAGGAATACAGTATGATGTCTACACAAAGCTGTTTGACAGTATGGTTGCTTCAGTGCTACTATATGGAGTAGGTGTTTGGGGCACCAAACCATATGGTCTAATTAACACTATTCTAAACAGAGTCTGTCGTTTCTTCCTAGGAGTTAAAACAACAACATCAACTCTAGCCACCCGTTGAGACATGGGATGGCTATCAATGGAATCACGACAAGATATTGAAACAGAAGACTATGGCAGAGGCTGGATAAGATGACTAATTCGAGGATAAACAAAAGAATATTCAACTGGTCAAATGAACAAGCTGATACCCAAAGAATGAAAAATTGGACATTTTACGTCAAAAAATCAATATCAACAATATATAGAAATACTACTTTATCAACGCCAATGACAACCTTCAAAAAACAAGTCTCAATGTTTGATGCAGAAAAATAGACACAAGAATTGAGTAAAGTAGGGCAAATAATAAACTAAGAACTTACAAAACAATCAAAAATGAGTTTAAGCCTGAAAGCTATACAAAAATCAACCTACCTAGATATCAAAGAAGTACATTCTCCAAACTAAGATGTGAAGTTTTACCACTAAAAATAGAAACCGGGAGATTCACCAAACCCAAGACACCCCTTGAAGACAGGACATGTGAAATGTGTGATGATCATAAAATTGAAAATAAACAACATTTCCTAGTAGAATGTCCGGCCTATGAGGATTTAAGAAGCATTATGATAGCAGAAGCTCAAAGCAGCAACCCTGACTTCCTAAACAAAAGTGAAAAATGACCAGTTTATAACCCTGAGTACTTCTCCAGAGATGGCTTTTATTGTATCTAAAACTGTATTCCTTATGTACAAACACAGACAAACAAATATGTGATATACAAAGATTAATATGTACAGGTAGTTAGTAAATATTAATGTATTTATTTATTTTTTTAGAAACTACTTCATTGTATCTTATGCTATATGGGCAATGATTTAGCCTATATGACAAATTATTGATTGACAGTCATTTGATATAATTATATGTGCAATACTTTTAATATAGTATAAAAAATATACATGTATGAAACGTCTTTCATACGCCGCACTGGCTGGGGCAGTGTTTTTATGACATTTTAGTACTACTAGTATCTGTAAAATAAATCTGCTGTGAGACGAAAATAAATAAATAATTAACTAAAAAATACTATAATATTGTCAAGGAGATAGTCAACCAACTAATCTGTAATTATTTTTTTAGATGTTTACCTTTAATTTTACTTTTAATATACAATTTCAATATTATGTTAACATTGATTGAAGAAGCTGCTTTGATGTCATAAGCTCCTTTGATGTCATTATATGCTTGTTGTTCAATGTTCAAATATTCTTTACTCCAAATATTATTTTTCACAACATTCACATATGAAGTTATTGAAGTTCATACTTCAAAATTATGCAGAGAGAAAACTTTATCTTTTGTCATGAAATATAAAGTCATGTAATAAAAGGACTAGAGATGAAAGTTTTAATGGCACGTTTGACTGTTTGACCATTTTATTTGTGTCAATAAAGTGAAAAATAATATTTAGAATGATTCAAGATGTATTTAAGGGATGAGTTGGCTAGGGGATGAGATGTCCAGGGGATGAGTTGTCTAGGGGATAAGATGTCCAGGGATGAGTTGTCTAGGGGATGAGTTGTCCGTAAGCCAGATCCAGTACCTCAAAATTAAATCGATTAATTCTAAGATATCTGCCAATGCATTTCATGATAGTCTTTCATACCTAGCTTATGTTTTATAATGAACTTATTATTCTGATAAACCACACATCTTGGGGTTAGCTCTCCTTTAAAGAATCTTAAAACTGATATAAAAATGCATCATACCTGCAGCGAAGAATACTGCGACTAAAGCAGTCCAGATAATCGAATGTTTAGTATCCATGTTAGGATTATGTCAACCGTCGTTAAGCATGTTTTCTAAATATGTATGTTGATTGTTTGGAATTAAACTACAGTAAATGTTAAATAAAAAAAACGTATATATATATACTCTAATGTGAAACTGAAAAACCGAACTGAAACCGTAACCAAAACGTACTACTGTACATGTAGATATACATCAAACCTCCTTAAACTGTAAAAAAAAACAAATGTACATATTATCAATAAGTACCCTTACATTAAATTTTCACATACTATTGATCTCCAAAATTAAAAAGAATAAGAACGAATTTAAGTCCCCCCATAGAAAAATGAACGTTTAGATATGTTGAAGACAGTTTTTTTGTGCAAACTTGCACTTTCGTTCTATAGACTGAACAATATAATTTAAAAGGTACTAATGGTTGGACATTGTGACGCGTGACACATGACGCGTAAATGAGATTGAACATATGCCAAGTGTAGTATCTCCACAAATCAACTTGCGGTTTCATAATGAACTTGGATTTTGGTTTCATAATGCACGGACCAGTGCCATTATACGTGCATTCATTGTTAAACATTTGAAGGCAGGTCTTAAGTAATACGGAAACAAAGTTAAATGAAACCACGATCGAAACCGAAACAAACGAAATCTTCAATTCTTGAAGGAATTTATGAAAGTACATTCGAGCATACGTGTTTGTTTGTTCTCATAATTAGTCATTTATAAAGAGCTTTTGGTTTCAAATCTGTCAAAAGAGCTTGCTTGTTAAAAAACGTGGTACTCCAACCTACTTCAATTTTAGAAAATAAATAAATTGAACGCATTGTCTTGGTAATTTCTAAAAAAAAGTCACCATTAAAAACGTTCACGAAACGATTCTTTATTTGAAAGCTGGGTGATATGATCGTGGGCAAAATAAAATGTATCACGCGGTACTAACTCACCGGGGCGTATCGAAACCAAAACTTGTTAAGTTTTGTTGCAAAACCGTTAATTTGAATTTCAAATCTACCCTGTCTTTGGAAAATCAATGATTGTGAGTCACACTACGCCGTTTTTCTTCAAACTTGTTCCATTAAAACCTTCACGGAAACACCTTTCAGTCGAGACATTGCATTTGTTTACAAAGTTCCTCGTTTTAGCGGCGTGTTGGTCCCTTCGCCTCCGCGCCTATGTCAGAATGCATTTTCTTCTCATAACTTCAATGTATCAATCCATGTTCACAGGAAATTAACGTCCATCCTCAAACCAATATGGCCCAGTATCACAGTTATGACTTAAAGAGTTTATTGCACTATATATCAATTTTCTTTTCCTATCGAAATTATATAAAACGTGCTCCCCTGAATCAATATAGATGCTCCACAGGCGTAACAACCCCAAGACTTCACTATAATGGACGAATAAAGAAGTATAAAAATGCCCATCTGAATTTTGTTATATTTATTCTCCTTGGAAAGAGAGAAAATGGCCTTGAACCTAGATTGCACGCGCGATCTGAAGTAAGCCTACGTGCAATGTATTTCTGATGTACAAGAATAATCTAATTGTACATTCCGTGTTGCACCAATCAATCGAAATATTGTAAAACAAGCATATTTCTAAATTGAGTAAAAAGAAGTGTTTTAAACAAAAATGATAATAAGTAATATCAATATATATAATTTGCGCAAGCCACGCGAACTTTCAAATTTCTGTAATGATCATGAAGTTGTTGTGTGATCAAAATAAGCTCAGTTTCATCACAAGGGCGCCGAGGATTAGTATTGTGTTAAAAATTAAATCCACATAATACCCATCGCCAAGGCCCCGATACAGTGTGAATCTGACCTTATGTAAGCGAGGTATTATTGGGCGTGTTCACTCAGGTGTTGTCATAATCGCTCGCGAATCGCAGCACTGTCACGGTGAATAGAGGAGACACGATTCAAATTCAAATTGGTTTTAGCCTACTTCAAACGTATTCCGAGTGAACACAATCAGGGGGCCCAAACATTGTGAACTATTTATTCACAATTACAGGAGTGAGCGTGATAAGCTCTACTCAAAATGTTTTCTGAGTGAACTCAACATGGGGGCCTAAACATCGTCAACTATTCATCCATAATAACAGGAGTGAACGTAACCAGCTCTATATTCATGTAGTCTAATGTGCCTATGTAGACGTCATCGTAGGCTCATGAATATAGAGTTCAATTGATCGAAACCGAAACAACACGTTCACTGAAGTGTGATTTATTAAGAACAACAAACGATTATTTGTATTTTTATATTCTAATTCATTTCCTTATGCTATGATGAAGTTTATTCAACGGAAGTCGCAATTATTCATATATACCGTACAATAAGCACTTTAACTTTCACAAATCAACTGCATTTCTATTTTTTGAAGAATATTACAAACTTAAATTTGCAATTTACTTCAGCGATTCAACACCAAAGAGCTTAGATTGGGCACATCACAAACTATTGACCCTATGTTCTTATTGCGGTGGTATATCAAAATAAAACTATATACCCGATCGCGAGGGATCTTCCTGTCGTTAGACGTTGTCAAAAGTGATTGTTGGACCACCCTGTAGGCAATATATCATAACAACTTCATTGTACCAAAAGGTGACAGAGTTTACAAAAGTAAACTGTACACCTTTTAAACAATTGCATTATTTTTTCAAAATCGAAAGACTGGGTATTGGCCAATGCTTATTAATTTAGGTAATCAATAATGAATAAATGCGGTATTCGTCGTCACCGCTTTAGGTAATTTTCAAATAAACTAGAAAACAGCAACTCAATGGAGTAGCAAATCCAAACAAACAAAAATTGTTTTAATGAAAATTGGCCATCTTGAAAGTTTCAGCTCCCTTGTACCGAGGTATCAGCATATGAAGTTTTTTCAATCAACTCTTATATGAGTTATCAACGATTATGTTTTTAACAAATCTAGAAAATTTGTTCTTGAGCAGTTCTCCCCGAGACAATATGATTTTTCGATGACAGGGTGTCTCAAAAAACGTGCTGTATTAACCTACTTGAAATTTTAAACCAAATCAAAATGACAGCTCGGTCATAGTTATCTTTATTACCGTTTAAAAGAAGTTCGCAAAACGAAACGAACAGCGGTTTGTGATCACGTCTACAAACTACAAACTTTATTTTAGATTAGGTAAGGAACTGCAATAAATGTACTCGTGCACTTGTTATCTTAAATGTTAAGCTAGTAAGGAGGTATGTATGAAATATTACTTGAAACGTTAACATACAATCAAGACAGAATTTACAACAGGTCAAATAGACCAAATTGTTGTCACATATAATCACTTGTAAGAACTACTAGGATCATCAACAGCGTTCGTTAACTTTCGAATCGCCAATTACCCCGAAGTATTAAAAACATAATTTTGCGTGGTCATGGGGCAAGAAGGGCCGTCCTTTCAGATTTTTTGAATCGTATGTTTTACCAAAGTCCCACAGAAGTGGGACAAGAGAGGCTACCTTTGGGGTAAAGTGCCGCTGTAACCTTGTGGGTAAAGGAAACAAAATCAATGGCCGGTGGGGTCGGTGAAGATCATATCAGGCGATATATACAGTACTTTACACATTTCTAAAAGTACGATCAAATGTTTCATTGAAATGAAGAACACAAATCACATTTCAATTTGCTGTTTTTTATTGGCATAAACTTTATCACAAATTGACGGTGAGATTGAAGTAAAACAGTATGCTGAGAATGTAACGCGATTAACAATTCAACGTCATATGCAAATGTATTACTCAACCTCCTCTGTCCTTGTAGTATGCCAATCAGGTTGATCGTGTTGCATTCTTATTTTACTGCAAAACATGAAATTACTAACTAAATAAAAGTTATGCTACAGTTAGGATTTTTCATATTCATATCCAAAGAATCGTTTTTACGAAATGCATTTCGGATCTGAGTGATTCGTATTTATGATGGTTGTTTGATGGTTTACAGTAGTAACGGTAATCTAAATTTTATAATAATCTATGCATAAGTATTACCATTTGGTATAGTAAGCTTACTTATTGAAATTAATACTCGGCGTTGCCTACAGCATAATATACTACCTTGTCTGTATAGGGCAATTTCATTGGGACCTCCAAGCAAATAATTCCCAGTCCAATTGCCAGTGACACATCCATGATCTTTCTTTTGCCAAAGGCTTGAATCAGCGTCATTCTTAACCCCCCAACATTCTCCATAAAACTCAATTCCTGTTAAAAAATCCAATCATGTATATCAAGTATGTATGTTTCTAAATTCCGCAAATAAACTGAATTTATTTTCAAGTTAGTGTTGATCTCACCCTGTAACGCCTGGATTAAAAAATAAATAAATTGCGAGCTGACGCAATTTTCATCTCCGATCTGAACTTTTGTTCGTATTTGTTGCCCATTAATACAATTTGATATACCTGAAATGATATAAATACTGCCAATAGATGGCAAGAATTCTCAACATCTAAAATCGTTCAAAATTCCCGGAGTCCCCAAATCAATGAAAATATACAAAACCAACTAATTGCAACTAAACTTGATAAATCACCAAAATGATCACTTTCCATAACAGAAACATCCATTGATCTTCATATAGACATGTCATATAAAAAAGCAATGCGCTAGCATATTGTAAATTTGCATATCGCCACTTGATATACAAATTAGTTTTTTGTTTGCTAGGATGTAATAACAAACGATCTTGTCTCACTGGGAACCAACTGGAAGGTTGGACTTACGGAAACAAAATTTGGTGAAAGACTTTCTCGATTTAATACCTTTTATCCTCCAAATTTCAACTGTTTGTAGTACATACATTCTGTTTCGGAAACCTGATTTCACTTCAGAAATACATAGCAAAAATGTGTTAATATCTACAAATCAATTCTCGATTGAGGAACGAAGACTTTATGCTGTCTTCGTTTCATATTTCACTATTCAGAACACATCTTCACGGTCCAGATATGCCGAGTAAGTTCATGTGCTGCTATAACTTACCAAATACGTTTACGTTCTTTTCAATGGCTACTCGCGCACATTCTAACACGTGTGGAGTCATATTAAACCACTGCAGACTAGAACGCATGTTCTTCAGGAGGACTGAATCAGGTCTACGATCACCTCCTTGATAGCAGCCCAAACTCTCAAAAGAAGATCCTAAAAATATGAGCAAATTAAAGTGAAACGTGAGAGTCAAGTAATTGATCAAGGCTTCGGGGATCTTGTCTGCTTACGGAACTTCATTCGATACAAAGTTGTATAATAAAACCTCTTATAACCAAGAAGCAAGGTGCAAATAATCTTGTACTTTTTATGATTGAAAGACAGGTACATTTCAACTGAGAGTCCTGGACTAATTCGGTGCATGATGGTGTATATACATCCCAATCCATAAGTTTGACAACCCTTATAGACCCGTTTTGATTACTCTTCAAAGGTTGTCTTTATGCCTTGTTGCATAAATATCTGAGATAATTGTGATAAAAGAATAGCATCATGATTCAGCCATTTGCAGGCTTTTGAAAGGTTAGTCTATGAAAGCGTTCGGTAGCCAGACTTTATGCAGAGTAGTGTGTCTCATCTTTCAAATCTCTATTCAAATTGGAAGGAATCTCGATTTTTAGAATTTAAAGACCCAGATTTTTAAGAAATCTGATTTTTTTCTCATAATCCCTCGATATTTTACCACGAATTTTCGTAAGGAACCCCTGATTTATCTTTTTTTAATCCTTATTATATAAACATAAACAATCTACAATTTCTCCCATTTTTTCAAATTGTCGCTTGGCAATTTTCTGCACTGATTTTCTAAACAACACTGATTATTCTTTGAGCTATCGACCTTGGGGAAGATGGTCTCAATTCATTACTACAGAGGTGTATATTATCTATGGGGTTCTTGTTTTATTTATTCACTCATGCAACTCCCATTTAGTGCAATATATGTACAGGTACTTATCATTCAATATGCATCGCACATTTAGTGCAATATATGTATTTATTGTAATATTTGTCCTCAACCATATGCATTATGTATTTCACAATTAGTGCAATATTCATATTAATTGAAATATTTGACCATATGCAACATACTACTTACATTAAGTGCAATATATGTATTTATCATGCAATATGCATCTAACATTTAGTGCAATACATGTATTTATTGTAATTTTTGACCATATGCAACATGCCACTCTCATTTAGTGCAATACATGTATTTGTTATGCAATATCCATCTCACATTAGGTGCAATATATGTATTTAATATAATGATTGACAATATCATTCCATGAACTGCTTATTTATGCCAAACTGATTAATCAGACAATTTATATTTATTTATTTATATCATTGGTTATTATTGTATAAATTTTTACCAGAGACATTTTTTGTCTCTGTCTTTATGAATGTTGACCCAAGCTGCCCATTGGGGGTAGTAATGGGTGACACTCAGATATAATGTATACTGTGTCTCATAAGTCGGCACCGGCTGGTGATGCTACAAAATGTTGTTTTTATTATGTATTTTATATGTATATTGTAATATCAGTGACACAAAAATAAACTATTTTAAACTAAACTAAAACTAAAAATTATTTTAATTTATAGACATAGCTTTTTGTAACCGATATTTGTTAGATTTTTTGTAGAAACCTTGATATTCTTCCGATTGTTTTATAGAAATCCCAAATTCCTTCGGTTTTCCAGAAATATATCCGAAAATATCCAGATTTTTATTGATTTTTAGTTGACAGGTGTGCTGAACGTCCTATACAATGAGAAATACTATCAACTGAATATTGCTTTAGAGCAACAATTTGGATTAAAATAGGCGTATATCTTTTGTTAACACTATCACTCTAATATATATGGACTCGCAAAGATTCCCCTATATATTGAACATTTAATCACAACAGTTCAATTTTACCTGGTTTGGCAGATGTAGTCGGCATGTCAGTTGTAGTTTGTTTGTCTGAAAGACAGTAGACATACTTCTATTAAGAATCTTTGAATATATCAGCAATTGGTGAATATGCTCCCCTACATAAGGTTTGCAACAAGAAATATTGAATTCTAAATCTAGGTGAATAAAGTTTTTTTTTATTATCATATAAATCAGTACATATTTAACATACACAGCTAGGTCGACACCTGCTGGTGATGTTACAAAACATATATTGTTTTATGTAAGGTATTTTATGCATGCATGTGTATCTTCAGTGGCGCATGAATAAACCATTTTAAACTAAAAACTAAACTACATGTATGCTATATCTTTTATATTTTATTCATAAAAAGAGTTACATATATCTAAACAAATAAAACAACAGTTCAATTTTACCTGGTTTGGCAGATGTAGTCGGCTTGGCAGTTGTACTTTGTTCGTCTGAAAGACAGATATATCTTCAAATGAGAATCTTTTAAATAAATTGGCGAATTGTGTATAGAGTCCCCAACATAAAATAAGTAGTACCGTGGGTATTGGGCTCACGTGGTGTTGCTGAATGATGACTGAAATGGCAAAAGACAAATATAATGTTTTGCCGATATTTTATAACAAAATTATTTCATATAACTACTCTTCACGACGCTGGACGCCTGAAAAAAAATGGCGGCCATTTTGAAAAAGGGGGGCTTTTGAATCGGGAGTCATAGGGGGCAGGTTCTATATTTATGTTGAACAAAAAAGCTTAAAGCAGGAATCCTATCGACAAAGGTTTTGAAGCAAATGTCCAAAGTGGATTTCACGAGACAAAAATGGCGACCATTTTGAAAATAAGTGAGCTTTTGAAGTAGAAAACGCAAGGCTTTTTTAAACTTGATGTTGATCAAAAATAAATTAAAACGGGAATCCTATCGACAGAGGTTTTAAAGCAAATGGTCCAAAAATGAATTTCGCGCAAGACAAAAATGGCGACCATTTTGAAATTAGGCGAGCGTTTGAACCAGGAGCCATAGAGTGGGTTTTCTATATTGATGTTGAACAAAAATAACTTAAAACGGGAATCCTATTGTCAGAGGTTCTAAAACGGGCCAATAGTTAACAGACTATCGGACAGACAGACGGACGGACGGACGGACGGACGGTGATTGCAATAGCTCACCATGTGAGCAACCAGCCTTGTTAAATCACACATCAATCCTTGGATTTTATGTTTGGCGGTTTAAAAAAGTTCAAAGAAGTCATAACTTGTGAATGGATTGTACATTCAATGAGGAATTTAAGAGACGACATTGATGCACCTTATCGTAAACGGGGGGTGAATAAGTTTATAACCTATAAATAGAAGTGTTTTCCTTTGTATACTGGATGTTGAAACTGCATTTAATGCGTTCAAGCTTTTACAGAATTGTGTATTTAAAAAAACGTTATGCATTGCTGTTGGTAACTTGACATTACAGTTCCCATGGCGACTTATTTAATCACCCAAGAGTGTAAGCTCATTTTAAGTTTGTTTTGTGTGCCCTATAAGTTAAATATGAAAGAACATCCTATATGCGGTCTTACTTCCACGTACTATACATATTGAATCCTCACCTTTCTCACAGTTGATGCCTGCATATCCCGTCTTACAAAGGCACTTGCATGAAGTTGGGTCAAATGTTCCTCCATTCTCACAAACCAATGGTCCTGAGAGATTAGGGCAATCTTTCGTTTTAAAGTAATCTATAATATCAAGGACCTTTTGTAAGTGTCGCGGTAGTGAATATATATACAAAAACTTATGTTATCATATTTTGATATCGAATGGTTGATGATTTGTGATGACATGTACATGTAACATTGGGTTGTATTACAGATATATTGACCCTGACGTTACAAATTAAAAACTAATAACGAGAAAGAATAATTAATAAAGCTATCGCCCATGTATAGTGTATTTTTTTCAATAAAATAATCGTCACTCAAACCACTGACTGCATTTTTAACCGGAACGGTAATCAACATAAGTTAAAGACCAAAATCTGGTATAAAAGGCAGATGGAACAGCCCACAACAGCCAAATATGGCAGTTTAAATGTCCAGTTCAAACAAAATGAGAATTTTTCAAACTTTCTGCTATAGCAAGATAATTATGATGAGTTACAAGCTCATTTTTGTTACAGTGGCTCATTAATCTATAATGACTATGAATGTCAAATCAAATTCTTGAAATATTGTTTATAATTCGTTTTTGTGAAATTAGACAATTTATTTTAGTAAATATGTTCATTAGCATAACTGAAACTTTCAATTTCAGCCAATGAGCATCTCTCATCTGTCTAAAAGTAAACAAACATAGCATAAGGCTGTAGCAGACCATGTGGTTCTGTATATGCTGGACATTTAAACTTACCACATTAGCACTGATTGGCTGAGCTGTGACAGCTTAATTAATAGCTTCACCCTGGGTTTCTACTTAACAGAAATTTAGGCCTTTAAGCATTTAATCTCTTTAAGTGAAACAAATACACAAACTTACTCATACAAACAGGGTAGCAATTTGAGTGACACCGAGTCCTGAACCAAGAATTCCCACATGAATATACAAAAACAGATTCATCATAACTGCTGCACGGCCATTTAGTAGGGTCCCCTACGCTACAGTCAACTCCACAATTCTTTCCTGCCCATTGTTTTGGACAATCACAGCCACATTTCTTGGGGTTCCAGACTCCGCCATTTTTACAAGTATACTTTTGACATACTGGAACAAGAGAGTATAAGTTTATGCTTAATCTAAAATACGTTACATCTTAAACTAACAGCTAAAACGGAGTTTTGATAACATAACGCTATTCTGCCGGCTACAATAGTATAGTTTCCATATAGCTTTTGAAATCTCGCTAAATCTCGTTTTTCGTGAGATTTTAAGAGACTTTCATATTAGAACTTTAATGACTTACATTACCTTCTTTTAAATGGTATATTTGAATTCAGTGGAATGTTTTCTCCTAAAAAAGCTTTGATTTACACAGTTATGTAATTTGAATAATTTTCTATGACAATTTAAAAAAAGTTGGGCCAAATGTCCATAGATGCAATGCTAAAATTCTTTAAAACCGTGGATTATTTGTATGTCAATCAACATTAGCATGTTTAATCACAACATGTTCATAAACAGGGTCATCATGTGGTATATCATTCAAGTTTTATACAGATTCAACAAACACACTTTGATAAATCATGAAATTAAGCCACTTTTCCAAGATTTTGGCATGCAAGTGAATGGAGCTCTAGCCAGAGTTAAAAGCTGAATAAAAGATGGCAGCACGAGATTTCATTGATTTTTCTGCTATTTAGAAACTATCCTATTACGTTAATGTTAAGTATATCTGAATAACTTGGGGCTTATTTTGACAAATAGCATACATATTTTAAAAGTTTCCTTTGTGTTCTCGAATGTTTGTTCAAATATAACCATGAAATAACATACCGTCACACTTTCCTCCGGACCATGAATTCTCGCATACGCAGCCACAAACTTCTGACCGTGTGTCGTATTTTCCATGGACACACTGGCCACGGTCAACACAACCTGTAGATTTGCCAAAGGATAGATACATCAGCGCAATATCGCGTCTGATATATTAACAACAATTTACAACATGTTCGCGTAAAAGGAAGACTTTAAACCACCGCAAAATCCAGAAATTAAAACTGGTAAACAATAGACTAGATGCGAGTAAAAATAATCTTGATTTTACGTCATTAAATACACAAAATTCAGTCAAAGTGATGTCATATTTGAAATCTACATGTAAAAGTACATCAAATGATATGGTTTCGAAAGTTGTTTGTCAACTTTGAAAATTTAATTTTTTTTGAAAATGTGACTTCTTGTCCTTCTTCTTGTCTTTCACAATGGCCTCAATATTTTTTAAATGTAGAGTTGGGGTTCTCAAAGTTGTTATTGGGTATCCATGTGATGGATCCATATAAAGCTTGTATGATCATGTAGGGAAGGTAAGCCCTAGATGCCAACGGGCACTTCTTTCATGGCACTGAGGAGATGGAAACGAGAGAAAAATGCTTTGGCAAAACGGTTGGAGAAACTTGCATGTATTCCTATGACTAAGTGCAAGCTATGATGAGCCATGGTGACATTTTTTGTTTAGTTCTAAATGTAGACTTATCGGGTACCCCTCTAAACCTGTGAGCCCTTGTAATATTCCGGAATTGCGCCTTTTATACTAAACGGTGAGCAACACCAGAAACAAGCATTCGATTTGCTGAACGATATGTGTTACGCTTTTAAGCCAATGAGTTTTTAAGCTAAAACATTTTTTACCTTTACAGTCATCAGGATTGCAGACTGATATGCACCTATCGCTGAACCAGGAATTGCGGCAAGAATATACGAACTCTTTATCGTTATGAGAACTACATGGCCATTTGTTACGATTGACACCAGTGTCACAGTCAACTGTACATTAACAAGAGAATGATATAGACAAACATAACCCGGATACAATGTGTTTAATATGTACTTCATGTTGTGCTCTCAAGATGCAATGCTGTTCATTAAAATCGATGTTATAAACCCAAAAATTAAACGATAATACTGGACTGAGTAAATAACATTCTCCAAATTGATTACTATCACATGTTGTGCAGTTCTCTCTCTTACCTTTTTCACATGTCTTGCCCAAGTATCCCTCTTTACACATACACACGCATGTAGTAGAGTTGAAGCTTCCTCCATTCGTACATTCCAATGGTTTTGAGAGACTGGGGCACTTTTTCAAATAGTATTCTATGAAGTAAAAATTTCAAGAATTAAAGCATCGAACTCAATGCTTCGGTCGTTCGAGGTACATAAAACGTTTGTGCCTATCCCTGCGGGTGTATTCGACAATATTACTACCCCTGCTCTTCGGTTTATATTTCTTAAATAAATGCCTTCTAAACTAGTACTTATTCCCCTAGAACAGGCCCGGCAAGGTGGTAATAGTATAAAGTTATGAAGGAGTGATTTTATGTACAAGTTGAAATGAATATCAGCATTATTAGGCGTTGCCTTTGATTCCTGTGAAGTCGATTGCAGCAGATCGATACAAACAGTAAACTTTTAAATGTTTGGGACTACTTTGAATTTAACAAAGAAGCAATCAAATGACTATATTGCAACAGTATATGAAAAAATGGAAACATATGCACAAGTTATAACTTTTGTATATTTCAGATAGTTATTTATAATTTACAGCAAAGCTGTAATCCATCGTAATTCAGGGAGTTTCAGCCATGTTAATTGTTTTCGAAAATAACATGGCAGAGGAGCATCAACATATAAGACTAAAATATACAAAGATTAGGATTTTGTATAAATGTTTATATTTTTACATATTCTGTTTCAATATGCTCCTTCAATTGCTTATTTGTTAGATTCAAAGTAGTTCCAAACATTTAAAATTTTACTGTAGTATAAATACGATAAAGCCTATACATGCCATGATAGTGTCACCCATAAGCATGTGTATATTTGTTGTCACAATAAACACGCACGCTAACAATTAGCGTTTACTGTTAAACTTACTCATACAACGAGGGTAGCAATTTGGATGACATTGGTTACGGTACCAAGAATTTCTACAGGAATATAAGAAGACAGATTCATTGTGATGGTGGCATGGCCATTTAGTTGGGTCCCCTATGCTACAGTCAGCTGTACACGTTTTGCCTCCCCATTGATCTGGACAATCACAGGCACATCGACTGCTGTTAAAAACTCCATCATTGTGACATGTATAGTTGTGACACACTATAATGAGTAAAAGAATTAGACAAATAATGATTGATACAAGCTTGTGAAAGTTATACATTAATCAATGTTAACTTACACTTAGGTAGCAATAAAAAATAATGAACTGTGTTTTATTTTAATAATGTACAGTTCTAACAATGAAGAGTGAACTATCTTTTCTATTGGTTTATAAGAATGCACACTTGACACATTATCAAAAACCAATGTGGCACAAAAGAGGATTGACAGTGTTAGATAGTTTGTCAAGTTTTCATCATTTAAAAACAATAAACAAATGTACATTTACATTTCTCTTGTTACTGTGCATTCTTGGTGGTCGGGGAGACTCACTATACTTTGCCAAGTTGACTATTGCAAAAGTGTCATCGAAAATATGTTATTTTGGTGATTTTATATGTTTGAAGTGACATGGAAGAACATATTTTGCAATGTCTTTTGCAAAGAATTTAAGCCAAAGACGCAATGCATTGTGGAATGACAATTCCTTTAAGGCGTTTTCCTAAAATTAACACTCAATGCAAAGCATCTCGTGCAAATTTTGGAAAGCAACCCCTTCAAGAAATGGTCATTCCACCTTGCACTGAGTAAAAAAGCTTAAATTCTTAACTGAAAAGGGAGAGTTTAAAATAATAACCTATACTATTATGATTGTTTGATATTATGATAGTAAAGGGTAACGATGTATGGACCCAAGCCGAAGATGGCCGAAGATGGCCGAAGATGGCCGAAGATGGCCGAGTATCTAATCCTAGCCCTTCAAGGGATTTGATTGGTTCCTTGACGTTTCTTCGGCAATCTCCGTAATATAAATAACTCTGGCGATGGGGCTTCGGTGCTCTCCCCTCAGTAAAGTGCTTATTTTTCATTAACGAGTAAGATGAGATTTTAACAATGCACATCGAGTTATGCTTAGACATGATTTACCATCGCATTTGCTTCCCGACCAAGAGTTTTCACATACGCAGCCACAAACTTTTGGCGACGCATCGTAACTTCCATGGACGCATTCTCCCCGGTCAATGCAATCTATATGGAGAATAATGTTAATAAGTGGATTACAAAGTAGTTTTTATGGATCAAGGCAATTGCCCGTCTAACACAATCTGTATACAGAATTGTTGGAACGAGTGCATAAAAATTGTATTCAGTTTCTTGGTTGACTCAATTGCACTGTTGATTGAAAGTGAAAGTTTGCTTAAATGTACTAAGAAAAATATATTGAGAAGTATGTTAATAATATTTTACTAATAAAAACAAGCCAAAAACATGACAAAATGACACCACCTAGTTGCTCACAATATTATGAGTTCAATGTTAAGTCAGATTTGAATTTCTGAGAACTCTGTAGATGAACTTCTGAGAACTTGTAGATGATTTCGAAAAATTGGTCAGTTTAAAGCAAGTTGAAAAAATACCTTTCTGACCTTGAGAAGGTAATTGAAGTTCAAATATTTTTGACCTTGAGAATGTCATTAAAGGCCAAATCTATAGCCAGATTTGAACTTTTGATAACTTGCAGATGATTTGAGAAAATTGTCATTTTGAAGCAAGTTGAATAAATACCTTTTTGACCTCTATTTGATCATGAGAAGGTCATTGAAGGTCTAATCTTAAATCTAAAGTCAGATTTGAACTTCTGATAACTTGCAGATGATTTAAGAAAAATACTTGGTCAATTTGATGCAAGTTGAAAAAAAGACCATTTGAACCTTGAAAAGGTCATCGAAGGTCAAATCTTTCAAGTCAAATCTGAATTTCTGAAAACTTGTAAAAGATTTTGAAAAAATTAAAGTCAGTCTAAACAGTATTTGTTAAGTTATTGGAAGTTGTACGAATTTGTTACAGACGCCAACCGCAGTCAAAAAACGGAAAGCATAATATGTCACCACTTTTTGGTTGTGACATAATAAAAGATAAAATGAAAATTTCCAAAATTTCCATTCTTGTTGCAGTCAAAGGTAGCTGCACTCAATATGCTTATCTGAATCATTATTAATTTATTTAAGAATAATATGCATTTGCCAAAATTCAAATTTCCCTCCATTTACCACAATTTGAAAATCCGCAGTGGATGAATTTGTTGGTCGCTCATGACACCCCTGGTGTCAATTTTGGCCTCTAACTTCACAAGAAAACAACAATCGAATGGTGTCATATTGTTTATAGGAAACGGTTTTTCTTTAAAATGATCGATACTTGGCATAATTAAATATATTATATGATATTCATTTTTAAACTTGGGTATTGTTTTTTTTTGCCCACCCTATATTTTATATTTAAATAGAATGAAATAAATAACCCCTACCGCATTGTCCACAAGCCGCTGGGCATAGGGTCTTAGCTACAGCCGCGTCACTACAGTCAGCCTTGTTACAATCTTTGAAGTTCATACAAACCCCTGAAAATAAAGATGTAGTCATCAGCGGGGGAAGGAGTTTGTACGGCCAAGAATTCTTTCAAAACATGCAGTTTAACGATTTCCAAGTGGTTTCTAGCCAAAATACGTGAACTGTTTAATTTTCAATGAAACATGCACGTCCATATCAATCTGAGGTAATCGATTTCGGTCAAATTATAATTCAACATGTAAACATCCTCTCACTTTCAACCCGATGTGTTTACTGACTATGAGGCATTGCAAAAGTAACTTGTTATCACATATCGATTCAAAGTATTTATTATCATCATATACTGTCGCATTTTAAGTGTTCACTTACTGCGTTTTCCATTCAACATGTTTACAGTATGTAACTTTGACGCGTCTACGTACTGTTAATCTATTAATCATGCGTGTTTGCATTTTTCTACAATTCAGTCGGACTCGTTCACTTACTGTCACATTTTAAAGCAACGAGTTTAATTATTGTTACGATTCATTTGAATGAGCTTTCTCATTGTTACGATTGATTTTAACGTGCTTACGTTGAGGGATTTTCACAGTAGAGAGACTTCGCATTTCACTTATAGCATGTTTATTTTCCCCGTATAAGGTATAACTTATGGACGTTTGATTAAATCATCATTCATTACGTAGATTTATTACGTCCATAAGATGATATTCTTATAAATCGTCGTCTATGTTAGAATGATACACTTATGGACGTATGGAGCTTGCTGCGTAGTAAAATATGACGTAATCAAACGATTCATAAGTTGTACGTTATACGGAAAAAAATAAACTTGCCACAAGTGAGTTGCGAAATCTCTCTATACTAATGTTTTATTTACTGTACATTTGGATTCAATGTGTTTACTTACTGTCGCATTTTAATCCGACGTGTTCACGGTCACAGTCGCATTGACATGTCTCTGTATTGAGAGTCCCCTTGTTACAGTGACCTCCCAAAGCACATTCTGTAAAAGAATGTGATTTCCTGTAACTTAGAGTTCTGCTACAAGATAAGTAAGATAAACAAAGGTATCGCTGACCTTAAAGTTCAAACCCCCAGTCACTTGACTAAGATAGTGATGTATTTCTTTACCGATACAAACCAGGACTAAACATTTAAACCAACATTTATTGCGTTTTACTTTAATCAGTGGAGAGGTTAAGCAAATACGGTTTTTCAAAACGTATACGTAAACGCAAAGTACATTGAATCAACATAGGATTGTATCGCTTTAGTCTACTTCAGATACCCGTTCAACTTCAAAGTTGCGTGTTTAGAACGGGAGATTTTAAAATTTCACGTTGCTATCAACGGGAATCATTATACTCATGTCTGTTGAATACTATCCTTGCTATTTTGATTTCGATGCAGAGTATAATTCTTTCTGAAGAAGATGATGTATGTTACGCATGATTTAACTCCAATAATCTTACGAAACGAGCTCGTTTAAAATATGTATTAGAAAACCAGCTATTGAACTTCATCAATGGCATACTATGTAATCATTACAAGCTATGGTGTAGTCTAAACAAACACTAGAGCTGAACGGCTATTTATGTGTGAACTCTACATGTATTTGTATAGGGACGATTGATACGTTTAAGTTGCGTTTTGGATTTTATACGGTAGCTTAACCTCTCCATTAAGTCCTCTAAGCAACGCACGATGAACTCAAATAGGACAACGGTTGTACACCAATGAAGCAAGTCAAGATTGAACTTACTGCAATCTCCCGTCTCCTTTGTTCCCTTTGGACACTCCTCAACTAAAATAAAAGTACACGAAGTATATGACGTAAAACATGTAATGAAAAACGGTATTTGGTATTACATGACGGAGTTTGATTTGCACAATACTATTTCTGTCATATTGTTTAAATTAAATTGTTTCGATTGCTCACTGTATTATATACCATATTACACCTGTATTCGCGACAACTTTCGGCTTCAAATGAGTTGCCAATAAAATAGAAGGTTAATCCGGTAGCCGACAGCTGAAAGTTGCAAATACAAGGTTATAACATGTGACATTTGTAGTATTAAGCGACACGATCTTACCACAGAGGTCTTTGTAGCACCACCCATGTCCTTGGCGACAGTTGGTACATGGGTCGCCAACCTCATACAATCGTGATGTACCATTAGAAAGTGGATATATACTCTCGACGTAGTCCCCGATCGCCTTAGCTCTTTTACCGGGTCTTAAAAATTAATAACGTGCATTGGTTATTATGTCACCACCAAAAGTGGTGACATATTGTTATGGTCTCCGTTTTTTTTGCGACGGCGGTTGGTGGTTGGTGGTTGGAGGTTGGCGTCCGGCGTCCGGCGTCTGTAACAATTTCTTACAACTTCCTATAACTTAACAAATACTGTTTAGACTGACTTCAATTTTTTTCTAAATCATCTACCGAACTCCTATGCAGTGTCTCGGTATAGGCACTGCGGCGGGCAGATTATGGAATCCCCAAATTTGGGGAAGATAGTCCCCCTTTTTCTCACAGATGTACTTGTTTTTCACACAACTTATAAAATATATGTTCTTTTATGTTCACCAATAATTATTTTGTCAAAATATTCCAAAATCAATGAAATATAAGAGGAAATCCCCGCGGAAGGAATTCTGAGTAAAAGTTGTGTTGATAAAAGTTTACCGCACGTGTTGTTTATTAGTTAATACGCGCAATTCAACCAATGAAATTGTCTAAATTTTACAATCACGCGACCTGAGCATGGGACTAGAACCAATCACGTCAGTTGTTTATTTTTTGAAGGGGTCCGTCAAAATGGTAGCAGACCAAAATTTATCTCAGTAACATTTTACATAAATACACAGGATTATGATTACAATTTGAAGAGAAAACAATACAAATAGATAGAAAAATATATGGGGAACATTTCGAGGAAATATACGTATCATCAACATTAACGTATTATACAAACAACTATCAATCGGAAAGTATCTTGAACTATTACTTTATTATCGCCCAAAGACCCCTTAGACACGCAATAATTAAAAGTGCGGCTGTTTAGAGTGACGCGTTTCGTTCAGTGCAATTTTAATCGCTATAGCGAAACTGAACTGCCAGTATGCCCGGGAATATGTCATTCAAAAACTTCTTAGCACGTAGGGAGATAAAAGAGCGTGTAAAGGTAATAGAAAAGAACTTATCTAATCTAATACCAGTATCACTAAAAAATCCAACGGGAGTCAAGGCTAAACAAGCTAAGTTCGAAGATATAAACAACAATAATAACAGTGAAACGTATTGTGTATTTAGAACAAGACAAACCAGACTTCTAAAATGGGTGATCGCAAGTTACCTTTTCTACAACGATTTCTTGTCAGCAGAATGGTCAAAAAAAGATGAAAATAAAAAAATCTGTATCGAACTTCAGGGAGAAGGAGAAAAGTCTACGGATATTAAATACAAACTCACAATCTTTTTAACGACTGGGACAATCCAAGTGCAAGGAAACAACATCACGTCATTCAACGATGACTTTGATAATCTTAAAATGTGTACTGATACAATCAATCTATCAACTGATGAAGAAAGTGATGATGATACTAGACTCATAGACCTTGATGATAATACGGTCATTGATATTGAAGTAGAAGTTGAGGGAGAAAAAATTGTGGTAGAGGCAATCAAACAAGCTGACATTAACATTAGAGAAATAAATGGTGTGGAAACAGTGGACATGAAGGACATAACACCAACAGAAACAATGGACAAAAACGCTACAAAACTCAAAGAGGTTTTTGATAATGAAAATACACCTACAAAACTCAAAGAGGTTATAGCTATACAGCCACAAAACACATCAAATGAAAAGCAAAGTCAAAACAAGAAAATGATGAAATTACAAAATGAAAGTTTAGAAGAGGACAATCAGGTCACTCGTGAAGATATATCAAAACTGAACAACAAATTGAACAAACTAGAGACAACAATATGTGATCTTATGGACAAGATAAAAGAAAATAACAACATCAATACATCAGGAAATGAGAACAATCTCTGTGAAAACGAGGTGCGAAAATTAAGAGCAGAAAAGAAAGAAAGGATAGCCTTTGTTCTAGAACAAGGAAATAAAATCAAAACATTACAATGTGAAATTGAACACCAAAGGACACTATTAAGCTCCAAAAATAGAGAAATAGAAGGGCTAAATGAAACAATGAGCACTAAAAGTAACAGTATACTAGAATCAGAAAGAGAAATCAAAAGCATGAAAAATAAAGTTAAAGACCAAGAAATGATAGAAAAAAAGTTAACCTGCAAAAATGAAGAAATAGAAGCTCTAACTGAAAAGCTATCAGAAAAGACAATGCTGTTATTGAAAAAGGAAGATGAGATTTTTGACCTGACTGTACAATGTAAAAAGTTGTCAGATAGTGACACCGCGCCATTCACTCAAGTTAAAGGGAAGAAACAAAATACAGATTCTGGTAATGGTGAAACTAAACCGAATGAAATATCCATTGAAAGCAGAAGTTCTGATACTAAGGATGATAGACCCAAGGTTAAGATTTTGGGTTCATCTATCCTAGCCCACGTTGACCCATCTAGAATGTATGGTTTCAACACCACCATGGAGCAAGCATATACAATCCAGCAAGCTAAAGGCAAATTGGAGAACATGAAAGATAAACCAGACGTCATAATTTACCAAGTGTTGAGTAATGATGTAAAATCAGAATCAGATGATAATATAATGGAATCTATGGAAGAACTTGTCCAACTTACTGAAACACTGAAAGAAGATAGTAAAATTATATTATCCCTACCACCCCCAAGAAAAGATGATGCTAAATGGAACGTACGTCAGAGAGCACTCAATGCAAGATTGGAAGCCAGATATCATGATAAGAGTAATGTGGTTTGTAGCTCTAATGAAAATCTTGGCTACAATGGTCATCCAAATGCGAAATTCTACCGAGATGACGTACACATTAATATGCAAGGCACGAAAATTCTTTGTGCAAATATATTGAATACTTTAAGAAATATGTTTGGTCTTCCCCACCCCAGGCGTAACAGCAATGATAGGCCAAACAATTGGCCAAACCGATATGATCAACCAAGATTCAATGGTCGTCCAACTAACTATGAACAAACAAGATCTAGGAATAACTCCTTTAGGTCCAGAAAATATTAAGACTGCTAGTTCTACTAGTTATTGTTACATTAGTTATAGACTGTTGTAATGTGAATACCCACTGGGTATTTATTTATGTTAAAACGCACCCTCTGGGACTTTATGCTAAACACTTAAAATATGGCACCTTACAGGGAAGGACTCATATCAAAACTATAATGGGTATACAATATATATCTTTGTAAAATTAATATTATAACTTTTCTAAATACGTGATACGTGTCTCTTATTGATACAATAGGCACAGTATAGTGTGATACAAAATATGATGTGACATAAAATACTATAAACACAGAGTATGCGCTCTTCCCTGTATTGAATCTTGTGCCCTTAAGTATAAGAATCGATTAGATAAGGATATTTGAATTAGATTAAGAATCTTTAAAGGTTGGATCTATCGTAGTAGATATATGGATTTCATATGTATATAATCCTGTGTATTAGAAGTGTTAATCGTAGGCTATATGACAGGTTTACAAGTAGTTGATCACATATCTGTTGCCTGCTGGAATGTTCAAGGGTTAAAGAGTCGCGCACGCGATAAAATAATTGATAAAGATTTCATCTCACAAATACAAAATCATGATATTGTATGCTTAACAGAGACACATGGGTCAAAGGACGAGCCAAACGATTTCAGTAGTCTAAAGAATTTCACATCATGTGAAGTAACTCGGTCCAAAACAGGTAATAAACGACACGGAGGAATCGCGATATTGGTTAAAAAACATATATTTAAAGGTGTAGCGTTCATTAAAACTAAAAACCCCAATATATTATGGGCAAAACTATCACGAGAATATTTTGATAACAAGCGAGATATATTTATATGTGTTGTGTACATGTCCCCGAGTAATTACAAAGGCAAATCTGATGACGGTTCGGATATGTATGACACCTTAACAAGCGAAGTGAGTAAATATATAACGAAAGGTGAGGTAATAATACTTGGGGATTTGAACTCCCGGACTGGTAATATGAAAGATTACATTGAGAATGATGAAATACATGATTATATCCCTCATGACATTCCGTACCAAATAGATACACCAATCCATGAGCGTTCCAGCAGTGATAATAAGATAGATGCTGATGGGAAAAAATTGATTGAACTATGTAAAGCCTCTAACTTAAGAATTGTTAATGGCAGAGTTATAGGCGATTCGCAAGGCAACTACACTTGTCATAAATGGAACGGAAGTAGTGTAGTTGATTACTGTATAGTTGAGCAGAAAATGCTCAAAAATATAATGTACTTTAGAATAAGTGAATATCTGACAGATTTGACTGATCATTGCATGATATCACTGCTTTTGAGGGTAAATAAGGTAACAAAGTTGAAGCAGGAAATTAGTGGTAGTGATGACAGAGTTATCAAACGGATTTCTGCTAGTAAATTTAAATGGGACCCAACACAAACTAAAAATTTCGCAGATGCATTAACAAGTCAAACTAATATTGGGTTAATTAACCAAATTACGAAAGATCTTGAAAATTTACATAATTTAAACATAGATTCTATAAATACTCAAGTTGAAAGTATATTTATAAATGCAGCCAAACTTACACTGAAAAAGAAAAAGATGTCAGGTAAGAGGAAACAAATAAAATCAAATAAATGGTATGACAATGACTGTGTTAAATTAAGAAAGAAAGTTAAATCCCTTGGTCAGATACTGACGAAAAATCCCAATGATAGCTGTGTTAGACACAATTATTTCAAATATTTAAAGCATTATAGAAAGTGTTGTAAAGGTAAACAGAAAGAATATAAAAAAGAACTGCTAAATAGGTTAGAAAATCTGTATGAAACAGACCCTAAAGAATATTGGGAACTATTGGACAAAATGAGAAATAATGAAAAGGGTAGTGACGGAAATGATATATCACCTCGGGGCTGGTATGATCACTATTCCAAGCTTTTTACAGATAAATCAAATGACACGACTATGGATGAGAAATTAAAGGCTTTGGAAAATGATAAAACATTTGATAATTTAGATTATAAAATAACGGATGAAGAGCTTTGGCAAGCAGTGAAAGGCCTGAAAAATAAAAAGGCGACTGGCCATAATGGTGTCAGTTATGAAATGATAAAAACATCATACCCTGTGATAGGGAATATTATTTTAAAGATGTTTAATACTATGTTTTCAAATACACTCTTCCCAAAAGAGTGGAATGTATCATCAATAATAACTGTTTTCAAGAAGGGTAATTCAAGTGATCCTGGAAATTATCGTGGACTATTTATATCAGACTGCTTGTCAAAATTGTTCTCCATAATAATGAATAATCGTTTATATAACTATGTTCAAGAAAATCAAATGTTACAGGAAAACCAAATTGGCTTCAAGAAAAAGTCACGAACCACAGACCATATGTTTATTATTCGTACGCTAATTGACAGATTTATACACTTTGAGAAAAAGAAAATGTATATTTGCTTTGTAGATCTAAGAAAAGCATTCGACACGATATGGCATAAGGGACTGTATCTCAAACTTCTCCAAGCAGGAATTCGAGGTCATTTTTATCACATGGTAAAACACATGTATACTAATTCAATGGCATCAGTTAGAATTAACAGTAACGGTGACCATACTGATATCTTTAAATGTGAGAGGGGGGTTAAACAGGGGGACCCACTCAGTCCATTAATGTTTAATATTTACATCAATGGTGTTGTTGAAGAATTAACACTTGAATCAGACTTAAAATTACAAAAACAAAAAATAAGTTGCCTGCTATTTGCAGATGATTTAGCCATAATTACTGCAAATAAAACTGATATGGACATAAAATTGAAAAAATTAAACAATTATTGTAAACAATGGAACTTAGATATCAATACTGATAAAACTAAAATTGTAATGTTTAATAAAAGTGGTAAACGATGTAATGATATATTCTACATTGGGGACCAGGTAATTGAAAACGTATCAAAGTATACTTATTTGGGTATGGAATTCCATGCCAACGGATCGATGAAACAAGCTGCAATCTTTATTAAAGAAAAAGCAGAAAAGGCGAAATTCAAATTGATAAGTATGCTTACACATGGTGATATTAACCTAACTTTGTGCCTGAAATTATTTGACATATTAGTAAAACCAATTTTATTATATGGATGTGAAATCTGGGGTGCTGGTCTAATAACTAATAAAGATCTTCTGAAAAATAAAGATTTTGGCCTTGAAATGAAATATGACAAGTCACTTCCACCGGAATTACTACATCTATCTTTTTTGAAGTTTCTATTAGGGGTGCATAGAAAAACGAGTAATTTAGCTACGATGGGTGAGTTAGGTAGATTCCCTCTGTTTATCAATATATTTTACCAACAAGTTAAATACTTAGATCATATAGAAAATGAAGGAACGAGTTCATTACTAATTAATGCATATGCAGATAGTATTGAACTATCAAAAGTTCATAATCAACCATCATGGTACTATGACATTGATAAAATAATGGCATATGTTCAACCACAAGATAAAAATTACATTAAAAGTAAACCGCTTGATATTAAGAAAATCCTTGAAAAAAGATATATAAAATATTGGGAAAAAACTGTCAATGATAATAAAGGGAAATTAGAATTTTTGAATAATATCAAACAACGATGGGGAAAAGAACCATATTTGAATTTAATAAAGAACGCCGAACATAGGAAATCTATGACGCGATTGAGAATAAGTGCACACAATTTAGAAATAGAGCGAGGAAGGTATACAAGACCAATAGTTCCGAGAGATCAAAGAAAATGCAAATTATGTAAAATCACCACTGGTACGGAAATTCATTTTATTTTTGAGTGCCAAAAATTGGAAAAAATGAGATATGAATACTTTGATACGTTTAACTCGATTTGCCCAAATCTAACTGTATTGACTACCGAAGAAAAGGCTAATTATATGTTTAATGCTGAGGGTAACATGTGTATCACCTTTGCAAAATACCTTTATGAAATAATTGAAAAGAGATCAACAACTATATTATCAATATAAATATATACATGTAGGTGTAGGCTAATAGTAGTTGTTGGTATATATCTAATGATCAGCCAATCACATTATATTGTCATTATAAGCCATGTAAAATTTGCATTGTATGTTATTGTAATTGTATGTATAGTTTTAGTTTTATTTTATCATGTTTATTTGCTGTACACTCACCCGAAAGGGATTTTTAGTACAATAAAGCATTGAAATATAAAATATATTACGATGTTACCATGCTTACGGTGAGATACCTGCCCGCCGCAGTGATATATCACTGCACGGGAGTTCGATCATCTACATGTTCTCAGAAGTTCAAATCTGACTTTAGATTTGACATTTGACCTTCAATGACCTTCTCAAGGTCAAAAAGGTCTTTTTTCAATTTGCTTCACATTGACTAAATTTTTTTTCAAAATCATCTACATGTTCTCAGAAATTCAAATCTGACTTTAGAATTGACTTTAGATTTGACATTTGACCTTCAAATCTGACTTTAGATTTGACATTTGACCTTCAATGACCTTCTCAAGGTCAAACAAGGTCAAAAAGGTCTGTTTTCAACTTGCTTCAAATTGACTAAATTCTTTTTTCAAAATCATCTACGTGTTCTCAGAAATTCAAATCTGACTTAAGATTTGACATTTGACCTTCAATGACCTTCTTAAGGTCAAAAAAGGTCTGTTTTCAACTTGATTCAAATTGACTAAAAAAAAAATTCAAAATCATCTACGTGTTCTCAGAAATTCAAATCTGACTTTAGATTTGACTTAAGATTTGACATTTGACCTTCAATGACCTTCTCAAAGTCAAAAAGGTCAAAAAGGTCTTTTTTCAACTTGCTTCAAATTGACTAAATTTTTTTTTTCAAAATCATCTACATGTTCTCAAAAATTCAAATCTGACTTTAGATTTGACATTTGACCTTTAATGACCTTCTCAAGGTCAAAAAAGGTCAAAAAGGTCTGTTTTCAACTTGCTTCAAATTGACCAAATTTTTTTTCAAAATCATCTACATCTTTTCAGAAGTTCAAATTTGACTTAACAAGTTCTCAGAAGTTCAAATCTGACTTTAGATTTGCCCTTTGACCTTCAATGACCTTCTCAAGGTCAAAAATGTCTTTTTTCAACTTACTTCAAATTGACTTATTTTTTTCAAAATCATCTACATGTTCTCAGAAGTTCAAATCTGACTTTAGATTTGACATTTGACCTTCAATGACCTTTTCAAGGTCAAAAAGGTCTTTTTTCAACTTGTTTTAACTTGCTTCAGATTGAACAATTTCTTTTTTCAAAATCATCTACAAGATCCCAGAAGCTCAAATCTTCAAAAACCTTCTTAAAGTGTCTCACATATTCGATCAAAACTTGCCATGCAAACATGTTAGTCTACTTTACTGGCCCCCCTTGCTGTAACAAGGAACCCAAAACGCATTAAAACGTAAACATAAACCAATTAGTCACTTCACTATGAAAGTGAGGGGTGTTACTTAGCAAATGTGTATTAGCAGAATACGCTGTGTGCATGCATGGACTATACAATATCAGTGGTCATTTACTGTGTCAACTTAGTAACCCTTGCATATCGTGCTCACTCAAGTATTGAATAATTTTTTTTATGATCTAAATGTGTGTGGTTTATAAAAAAAAGTGATATATTTTAGTTAGAAATACATTAATTAATATATTCATTCAAACAGCACTAGAATGCGGGAAGAAAGAGAAATGGTGATAAAATGCAGACAGAATTTTCCGTAAGGGTTTCAAACCTGGACATATCTGGACACAATCATACATGTAGTTCATGTGTACTGTTATTTTTAGTGCTGTATTTATAGATATAATTTCACGTATTAAAACCATATTTTCCAGCAATGACTTCAAATTCGGAACCACACCCATATCACGTTTTCTTCAATAACTCCAAACACGTGTAAACATTGAACATGTGCATATAAATTCAGATTTCACGAGCTCTTTCCTATTCGAGTAGCTCATGCACCCCTGCATGGATTTGAGTTGGATTCGCCTTTTATACGTGGGCCGACACACTCGCAAACGCTGATTGGATAAAGATTGCGAGAATCTTTAAAGGTATTTTCCAACTTGCTTTAAATAGACCAAATTGTTTTAGGTGGTGACATTTTGTCATGTTAATGCCTTGTTCTCATTTGCTGTGTACCTGTATGCGCTATTTGAATGGTTGTTTTGCAGATTCTAATCAAACATAAGTCACATATATCGGATGTCCAAAAAGTGAGCCACTTTTTGACAAGTATTTTCTCGGCAATGAATTTACCAAATTAATTGAAAATTAGTACAAAGTGACTTGAGTTTCATTGGCAAATCCTATAAATATGAAAAGATTTATTACATATTATATGAGTTCTGACAAATTCAAAACTGCATGTCAAAAATCCAATACCAGTACCGTGAATGTTGGCTTTCATATTACCAATCTTGGTGTGAATCGTGATCTGAAAATGCATACCTCATCCGACGAACGTACCTTGAACGATATTGGCAAACGAATGTGCTCCATTTACCCTTGGCGGAACAGTCGACAAAACCACAGCCAACCTCCGTGACACCGTAACCGTCTTGCTGTTAAAATAATTGACCAAGTGGTTTTTATGACACATATATCGAACAAAGTATAAACTAAGAATAGTATAGTTTCCATATAGCTTTTGAAATCTCGCTAAACCTCGTTTTTCGAGAGTAGTTTAAGAGATTTGCATATTAAACCTCTAATGACTTACATTACCTTCTTTTAAATGGACTATTTGAATTCAGTGAAATGTTTTCTCCTACAATAGCTTTTTGATTTACACAGTTATGTAATCTGAATAATTTTCAATGACAATTTAAAAAACGTGGGACAAATCTCCATAGATGCAATGCTAAGATTCTTTAAAACCTTGGATAATTTATATGTCATGATCAACCAACATTTGCATGTTAAATCACAACATGTACATACACTCCCCTCCATAAGTTTGGCAACCTTTTTTCCCCATTGAACTACGTGTTAAAGCCTCTTTACGTTTGAATTTTTATTTACTTCACCGGCGAGGTAATAACTTATAATATTTGATGGAAACGTAACTTGACTTTATTTCCAATACCTCCAAAATTTCTCAATTTTTTTCTTCAATTACAATAGGTCGAAAATTGATGATAAATTTGATGAACTTTTGAAAATCGTCATTCCCATGTAATCCAATGGGAAATGGAGGGTTCGGGGCAAATCAGAAATCAGGATATCTTTTCAGTAAAAGATTCAGCAAAAAATATTTTTATATAGTAAATTGAATTATCTAACTTTTTTGAACACTAAGTGATAAGTTTATTTGATGAATATTAAAGTTACAGCGCTTCAAAGTCATTTTTGAAAAGAATTTTTCGCCTCCTGTGTTATTTCAATGGGAGATATTTTTTGAAAAACAATTTTGACTTCAAAGCCTTATAACTTTGTTGACCCTGAAGAAACATATCAATTTTTTGTTAAATAAAGTTAGCAAATTCAATTGCCTGCCTAACTCGTATTTTTTGCAAGGACTCGGGTGGATGGATATTCTGTCATATGACTTGCGGCAAACCTACCATTTCCCATTGGTTAACATGGAAATGTCGATTTTCAAAAATTCATCAAATTTATCATCAATTTTCGACCTATTGTAATTGAGGAAAAAAATTGAGAAAATTTAGAGGTATTGGAATTAAAGTCAAATTACGTTTCCATCAATAGTATAAGTATTTTCATCGCAGGTTAAGTAAATAAAAATTCAAAAGTAAAGAGGCTTTAACACGTAGTTCAATGGGGGGAAAAAGGTTGCCAAACTTATGGAGGGGAGTGTAAACAGGGTCATCATGAGGTATATCATTCAAGTTTTATACAGGTTTAACAAAAACTCTTTGATAAATCATAAATTAAGCCACTTTTCTAAGATTTTAGCATGCAAGTGAATGGAACTCTATAGCCCGAATTAAAATCTGAATAAAAGATGACAGCACTAGATTCCATTGCTTTTTCTGCTATATAAAAACTATCCTATTGCACGAGAAGAGTAATGGCCTAACTGAGAGTGTATGACTTTTCAAAAATGGAGTTGTATGTTCTTTCATTACATAAAACTATATAGAAATAACATAGAATCAGTAGGTATTGATTCGGAGTTAATTTACAAATGTTACTATAGAGTTTGGTATCTCATTGACGGTTTTTTTATGGGAACCCAACCTTCTCGTAGATTTTGCATTCAGACTGCGTTTCATTATTACTTACAATGGTGTAATGACCTGTCGAGGCCCAAATTCCATTGACAGCTCTGGCTTTATACCAGTCATATCCAGGTGAATAGAGCTCTTTCCACCAATCATATACCTGTGATCTATAATAAAAAATATGTCAGTTATTCAAACATAATTATTTTGCAAAGTCATAATAGATTTGACAGATTCTTTATCAAACTTTTTCACTTGGATTTCACTTTGATTCTTGATCATTAATGCATTTAATTAGACATTTTACGTAGAAGTAATAATTATGATTGGAGATCAATGATAGTCTGGGGAGAAACCTGGGCGACACCCCCCCCCCCCGAATAGTTTTGGGCAAAAATTGGAAAGCAGTTTCTTGCATAATTTTGCTAAAACCTCCACAGATCCACTTAGAATACTTACTCTAATTTTGCTTTTGTCGGTGGCCATGGAAACCAGTGCATATTCTCTCCCATAGGATAACCACTAGCTAATCCACAAGACATATCACTGTGACCCCCTGGACAATTCTTTGCATGTTTCATGGCACAAACTTCCAGTTCATCACTCCACACCTGATTGACGAACCAGCGCGATTAAGTTTACATTTTGTTTTCAATGTTTATAAGTTAAACCTTTACTCTTCTTGAAAAGGCAGTAAGCTGACATATATTATTTTTTTAATTTTCATACAACTGACAAGATAACAAATGTTTTAATATAAAGTTGACGTACTTAAAAATGTTTTGTAATCGTAAAATCAAAGACAACTATATAATTAGAAAAAAATAAAAGTATATTCTCTCATTACTCAAAATATCACTCGGGACCCCGGGAACAACCCAAGATTGCGTTTTTTCGAAAAAGGCAGCTTTATAAAATTTCAACGTTTAACCCTTTCATCCCATATTCAATTAACTACACAGTATTACTAAATAACATTATATTTTAGACAGATAAATAATAAAGTTTACAGTATAATTATACCTAATCAAATATCCAGCATATTAAAAAAATCAAATAAAAGCAATTATCATAGTAAAATAGATTTTAGCTCGTTTCAAATAGTTAATAACCCAGCATATCGAAAAATTCATTTTAATTTCTGCATCAAGCAATATAGAAGGTCATTGACGTTTACATCATCATCGTGATTTTCTTTATTTCCTATACCTCAAAATTTTCTATTTTTCCTCAATTGCAATGTGTGGAATCTAACTGTTTATACACAATTGTAATCTAAACATTTAAAAATAAAATTTTCATAGAACCACGTGCAAGTGCCTTCCAAACAATATGCAAAATGTTTATTTTTTTTATAATACCGCTTGTTAAAATGAGAATCGTTTGGGTAGAATTTGGATTTTGGCAATGTGTTATGCACCATTCAAAAGTTTGCGTGAGACCCCACCCCCCCCCCCCCCACGCGGGGAGGGTAGGGAATTTGATCCACAATATTGTCCCCAAGGGTAGGAATTTGACGAATATTGTCGTCCCGGGGGTAGGGAATTAGATTTACATGTACCCGGGAATGGGGATTTTTGACTGAATCTGTTTCGTCCAGCATACACTTTAGGATTCTCTGAATTTTGCAAATGATCGGTATATTCAGTGAACTATTGATCGCTCATATCGGGAACAGAAGAAAATAACTCATTTACACGTTGGGTATAATTGCAGGGGTGAAATCGCCGAGAATAACCGCTGAAGAGAGGAATTAAAGAATACTAAGCACTCTGAGCAGTAATTATTGGTTTGTCCAGCTTGTTTTCGGAAAAATACATTTCCGCGTTCTACTTATATTCATAATATCGTCATAATTTAATTGATTTGATATAGAAGATTAATTTAATTTGAAATTAATTTTTGAAAAAAATTACGTTCGAACGACTTTTAATTTAATTAAATTGATATAGATGAATAAAACGGAGGGAGGTAACCTATTAAAGTAAAAAGCCAATATCTTAAAATACGTCATTGCATAAATTACATAAGAGGCCTTTCGAAAATTACTACAGTGTGGATTTGTTCCCGTCATCAAACGCAACAATCCGCCCGCCCATTCGACAAAAATGATCATTCATACAGGTATGTTCTCCATTTTTGTTGAACAGATACAAACCAAGAGTAAAACCATGTCCTTCTCGGCTCATTTTGTCAAAACCTTCAGGCAATATGCGAAAAAGTCGTCATAAAATGGACTGTATTCTCATTGACTTTTAATTTCGCGGTAATTGCGTCATATAAAAAGCTGCTTCTCTATTGGTTATATGTAACTCGTAAGCAAACATTTCATTCATTAATTAATTGTGAGCATGTGTAGTGGACTTTCCGCGAAGAATCGTATGACCATATATGGTGCCTCTATTTAAAATATTGACATAAACAAAGTACTGCACGTGTATCCCTAAACATTTACGAGCATCAGTCTACTAACAAGAAAATCTGATGTTTAAAAATAGATTTCAAATGGTGGAAGGACTTGGGGGTCGCGAATATTTGACCAGATTTATTGCTCCAAGGGTAGGGAAATTGACACATTCATTTGGCCCCGGGGTAAGGAATTAGACAAGCCAATTTTTTTGGTCAAATTCCCTACCCATGCCCGCGTCTCACGGAAACTTTTGAATGGTGCATTAAGCAGTATAATATTAATATATAATTAGTCGATTTAGTCGATCATTTTGAAAACAATATATTAAACCTGCACATCGCTCCAAAACGCAATATGTTGACATATATTGTTTTTACATTTTCAAGCTCTAATATAAAGTTTATGTAAATAAAAATTGTTTTTTTCTGCGTAATATCAAAGAACAATCATTAAGTTAAAAAAATAAAAATGCGAATGCGGGATTCGAACCCGGGCCTCCCGCGTGCTCAGTGAGGATTCTACCGCTACACCACCGTATTATTATGCGTGGTAGAAGTAATTAAACGCTACTTATTTTGAATGCTATGATTCGGAAGTGACGTCACGTTCTTCATTTAGAAACCTTTCCAAAATCATATCGCCGGCTCCGATCGAAGCAAATTCAATGAAAAATCTTTGAAATGACACATTTATCGTAAGTATTTCAACACAAGATTTGCCCCATTTGTTCATCATTCTATAATCTTTCATTAAGCTCAAAATGATAAAGTTCACCCCCGAAACAACCCAAGATTGCGTTTCGGAGCGTAGTCCAGCTTTAACTCGCATTGATTTTAAATCTGTTTGAGCGTAGTTCACAGCTATTTACCAGATAGTTCATGTTTGAAGGCGGTCCAGGGTCAACTTTTGCACGGAGCCTATTAATCTCATCTAGGGTGTAGTCTCTGATTTGTTGTGCAGTTAAGTCCCCGCCAGCTTGGATGCGATCTTGTCCATTGACGTATGTCGATGTCAGCAACACGAACACATACAGTAACCTATTAAATCGTACACATTATTATACGTAAGAACTATATAATCGTTTGGTTGAATCTTCAGTCTTTTAATCACATGAATTTATCACATGAATGAGCTATTTTAAATGACGTTAACTTGTATCCTATCATTAAGTTTAAGACTAGAAAGAAGCGCCTAAACATTTAGGAATAAGCAAAAACATTCAAAGAAATTCGTGGTTTTTGAAACACCAGTTTTTCTCCAAGATTTGCGAAGAGAACACGTTCTGTTAATAACTGTTGCTTGTATAACTATCAGATACATAAAGGTAATATAAAAAGTGAATCACTAAAATTAATGCATATTCAATTTTAAGGGAATTTTGTAATACCCTGCCATGTTAATTCCCCGAATCAGCCACCTGGTGGCGAAACTGGTAACTACCTACTCGCATCTGAGTAATTGTGTTCTATCAAACAGAGCAATTATCATTTTATGTTTTTGGTTACTAGAAACAAGGTAAAAATCAAAATTTAATGAATTTCAATTTTATTGGCATCAAGTTTCAACTATCATGACTTTGAACCTCTACCCCCTATCACATTGTTTTTTACGTCAAAAGCGTCTTATAAATGTAACGGAAGCTAAGAAAATAACCGAGACACAAAAATTGCAAAAAGTACTGTTGAAAAAAATAGGCATTAGGGTTAGTACTTAAATGGCCATTGTGCCATAAACAGTTCAAATATAAAAGTGCAAAGGGATGGCGTCTCACAAGCCAATATTGCATATATGCAGTTTTTTAACTTTGTGGTAACATGCTATTTATATGTCTTCTGTGACACTACAATAAAAGAATTCAAATAAATAAAAGAAAAAAAAACGTTTTGAAATAACAATATAATTTTAATAAAGGACCTACCTTATCATGTTTGGATGTCCTGCGTAAGAACTGAAATGGCTTCATCAAAAATAGCCTAGTATTTAAATAAAATAGCGCCTAGGGGGTCGACATTATCGTTCCACTGCATGTAATATCAATATTATGTACTACAAAGCTTTCTATACGATCCCTAATAATGCAAAATATACGGGTTGATGAGTTATTGTATTTTAGCAGTAATTATTTCACATATTTCAAAGAACCTATTCTAAAAATGTTTCATGATGTTGAAACAAAGAAATACAAAGGTCAAGGTCAAACGGTACCGCTGAAAGATCTGTCCAAAATATTTTTAAGCAGAAGAAGCAGTAACGTAATGTGAAAGTCAATTAAAGCAAATGCGATGTAGGAGTGGCCTAGGGGTTAACGCATTATAGAATAGTTTTGTTCAAATACTTTTATACCAAATGTTTCTGTCATCAGAACTTGAAGTAAAATGCACATAGTTTTCTTTTTAAAACAAAATTAAGCTCGCAAATCACCAGCTTATGTTAAACGGAACATTGCAATTTCAGAATTGTTTTTGCAGCAAAGAATTATGTATCAGACGGCTAATTCATATGTCATTAAAAGATCTCTAGCTACTTCAAAAGACAAAACATGTCGGAAAAGTGAAATACAGTTCTGTAGGGTTTGATCTTTGTCTATTTTAAAATTATATTCAAAGTTCAAACAGTAGATAGACATTGTGATAATGACCAAATTATTACCCCTATATTATTCTGTACATTGCTGGTCAGTATCAAGCGAATATAACGACCGTCACCTTTGCATCAAAGATGGCGGACGGGAAGTGTCGGTTTTGATATTTTTAGTTTTCATCGAATTAAACTACTTTATAGTTGACGTAATTCTTTGGTATTTGAACTAAATTAGACTTGTATGAGATGGGAACTATGTAATATGCTAATTTGTTCATATACAAGGGGCGATCCATAAATTCTGAAAAAAATGCTCTAATTTTGTGATTTTTCCCCATATCCCTTTCATTTTTACAGGACATGTATGAGATGGGAACTATGGATTATGCTCATTTGTTGATATACATGGGGCGATCCATAAATTCTGATAAAAATGCTCTAATTTTGTGATTTTTTCCCATATCCCTTTCATTTTTACAGGACATGTAGATTATGTAATTACACATACAATACTAAAATAATATATCTATACCTGAACTTAATTTTGAGATAAGGTTGCCATGGTAACCTGCATTTAGGGTAGGCAGGTCAGTTAAATTATAACATATAAAACAGATCTTTG